GAATAGCTTTTAAATTCTTTATTTACTTTAACAACTCGTCTCTCGTAAAGCCATCTGCAGGTATAACTGCGATTCTTGTCTCAATACTTTGCAAAAGTCATTGTATCCTATATAACGTAAAGTGGAAGTAGCTAGCGATAGTTCTGCTATGAATACTTTTCATTTCAAAGTTTATCTTTCTTTAGATATTTTTGTTATAAATAATGGATAAAATTTAACGTTCTCGTAATAAAGCAGAAAAATAATATTACGTGTAGAAATACCTTATAGACACGAAGTAGCGAGGTAAATTACAAATTAAAATAAATTCAAGTGCACGTTTTATTGACTAGAGAAAAAAATCTAATTACAGTCAGACGCGTTTATTCCATCAATCATGATTAATTTTCACTCGAGGAAAATTCATTTACTCTTCAGAGAATATTATTTCACCTCTGTTTTTCATTTTATTTCTTTTTCTTCGTGATCAATACACGGCTTGCTTTAAGCATCTCAACAAGGAAAATCTTCTGTGCATCGGACGTTTTCCGTGAGAAAAAGAATGATAAAGATCTAACTTATAGTAATGTATATTATTTCAAAAAAAATTCTTGCATGTAGATCTAGGTTGAATTATTTTTGTGCTACTTTGAAAATGCTCCAGTTAGAGCGTTTCATTTTAAAATCTCGCAATATGGCCGTAGTGGAAGTTGAAAAATGTAATCTTTGATCTCGCTAATCGTAAGTACTTAAGTGTTACGGGACAAAGAGCACAAAGATCCTACGTGTTTCTTGAAAGCAAAAAAGCTTTTTGGGTTACTTCATTTTAGCCGTGCTGCGTGTTCCAATGTGAATAAATATGCAAATGCGAAAAAGTAAATCGAAGCAAGATTTATAAAGAGGCACTATTAAATTTTTTTTTCTATTGAACAAGAGTGAATTTTATCGCGTGTACGTATTCGTAAGTCTGCACAAAAATCATGCGCTTTGATATTCAATTTGTAGAACATATTCATATCCTTTTACAAAATACCCCGGTTCGAACGATTTTCCACGAAGTTGAATCCCAGTGTCGCAAATTTTTTTCAAAAATCATATTCGCGTATAATGAACTGGCCTTTAACTTTATAAAATAAAAACTGCGTTTTGACCATAGACAAAATTTTCACACACAAAAAATATTCTCAATGACGCACAATAATCCTATTTTCAGACTATATCGAATATGCTAGCAATCGATGTAATTAATAATAATTATCTTCATTAAAAAAGAAAGCCCAAGTTCGTTGAAGCTACAAGCTAATCGTTTTTACGACTTTTTCACAAAACTCTAAAAAAAATTTACTATCGATTTCATACTCTATTATGATAAAAAAAATGTAAATAAAAATAATGAAGAGTCGTTTGAGTTTCGATGAGGCAATTCAATTATTGATTTTCTTCGACTCCCCATGCGTAGAAACGTAGGACCGTTCGATTATATACATATAGAACGCGTTTATAATCAAATCTTGACTGTTTGATAAGTCAGGGAGAGAGACCGAGTAACTGGGTGAGTAGTAATAGTGAAATTAAATAAACATCCTACAGCGAGCGGAAAAGACGGCGATGACGACGACGACGACGACGACGAATAGTATTAGGCGATACCCTATTTTGTACAGTATATCTGATCGTATATCGTAATAAGTGAGGCAGAATTGGCCACGCGCTTCAATCTGGGATGAAAACCCGAGCGAGGGGCAGCTTTTGCGAGGTCGTACATATGTAACCACTATCCATGCGTATTTGTGTGCAAGACGTGACTCGCGCACTTGTCCATTTATCACGTACATCCCAGCCCCATTGGCTACCAACAATGAACGAGAGCAAAAATCTCGCAGAGCGTGAAAGAGAGAGAGAGATAAGTGAACGAACCTCGAGGTGGATAGCTTTACGCGCAGGACGAGGCTGAGCTGCTGCTTAGGGAATGATAGCGGCGTTGGAGCACACTCGACACAAGCTTGACACACGCACGTAGCAACGCACGTAGATTTGCGGTACGTACGGGGATAGCAGCGCCGTCGAGCGATGCCAGCGAGGATCACTTTTTATTCGCAAGCTCGACACTCTTTGACTCTCCGTTGCGCGGGTGAAAACTCGGCGTTTAGGTCGCGCACAGCTGCACACACGCACTCACGGCGAAGAAGAATTGCGATTGCACGTTTAAGGGTGTACGACTCGCGTAGGATTATGCTCTGTGCGCTATTTTATATGTATAAATATAGAGGGCGATTGTGCGATCGAAGCGAGAAGACGCGATAGACTGGAGCTGCGCGACGGGGGTGGCCGCTACCTAGCCTATATACGCGCGCGCGCGCACGCCGACTTTTATGTTGTCCGTAAAGGATCGGCGGCGTCGCCAAGTGCGCAGGCTTGCCGACGGGGCGCGACACGGCCAGTCGAGTACAGTCGACGACGACGACGACGCCGACGGCACAGCGCAGCGGACGCACACGTGTGCCGGCGATCTTTACCCTCCCTGCGCACCCGTGAGCACCGAACGCACACACACACACGCACACGCACACACCCATACAACGCAGACTTTGGAATGTAGGCGAGCGCCGAGATAACGAGGAGCGCCCCCGGGGGTGCCGATTCGCCGCCGCTGCTGCTCCGTCGGTCGATACTTGGTGCGCGCGCCTGCGTCGATGCCGCCGCCAACACCGTTGAAATCGACCTGTGCACTCGCCTACCATGGGTACATTGTACAACAGCCCCGTGTGCTCCGTACCCGTTCTTCTTTCTCTTTTTTCGACTTGCTGAGTTTATGTCACGCCGAGAGGAGACGACGCTACCGTCCGTATGAGCACCCCCGCGATTCAACGGCTTCGTGAGTACTCCGAGGCGCCTCGATGGACAGGACAATGGAATCCGAGTATATACTGAGCTTGAGATCTTGTAAAAGATCGATCAACGTTCACCTGAAGCTTTGCTTTTTCTTCGCTCCGATTCTCGTGTCGATGAACATCTTATCTTCTTCGACCGATCGAAATCAATGTTTATTCTTCTCTTCCCCCAGAATTTTTTTGACGTAAAATTTTTTATCAATTTTTCTGATCTGATTTTCCATAACACTAGATTTTTTGCCGCATTCCATTGCCGAGGATACACAAGAAAATTAATGCGACGAGAAAACACGGAGCTCCATTATATCGTAATATGCTTTTTTTAATATAACATAATTTACAAACTCGCGTTTCTTTCCCCCCCCCCCCCCNCCCCCCCCTCTCCCCCTCCCCCCACATTTTTATACTCGCTGAAAGCAAGTCGTTGTTGTTTTGCACACGAAAATAAAAGAGAAAGTTCAGCTGCGTCTAAAAATTTACATGGAAATAAGATCTCTCACTCGCCATATCTCTTTTTTCTGAAAGAACGTATGCACGTTCCTATAAAACGTACAGCGCCTGACCGTACCCGAGTATTTCTACTTTTAAGTATATTGGCGCGCTTCAAAACGTCGAGTGCAATCTGCACGTACAATTTTTTGTTCGACGCAACTGAGTCGAAAGTTAGGGAAAAAATTGCACATCGAGGGAAATATTTCCTGCTCGGAAATACGTACTAAAAAAATTATTAATAATCCTCAGTTATTCCTAATTGATTCAAAAAGTTCAACATTTTCTAAATTAGAGTAAACTACGTACGTTTTTTAAATATTTATTCTGTGAAACATTCTAAATTGATTTATAACTAATTAAGAATCGATATCTCGTTTTTAAGTATGTGACTATTTTTCAAGTACTTTGAAGTATTCACGATAAAGCAAAGTCAAGTTTTGAAGAAGTACAGCATTAAAGTTAAAGTTATCCTTTTAGTATTTTACCTAGCCATAAAAAAACTTGTAAGAAAAAAGTGAAGCTGGACAGTTTGCAGCCGGCAACAATGTTTCTTTTCCTCAACTCTTTATAATGATAACTTTTGTTTCTTTTTTGTTCAAAAGTTTATTTTTATAGTTTATAAACAACTTAAAAAGATAAAGTGAGTTTTATTCTAGAAAAAAATCAACCCAAGTTTGAAAATACTAACGATCGAATTCAAAAACATGTGCAAGAAATGATCACGCAGTAAACGTGAAAAAAAGAAGAGAAGAAACAAATCGAAGCTCAACTCACTGATTTTCAAGTCTGAATAAATTTCAACTATCAGATGTTCAACTGTCGTCGTCCAACAGAAGGAAACTCTCGATGAATGAACTCTCGAGGAAGTAAAGGTAAGTAGAGCACGATCTCAGGAGTAATTATGTCAGTTTAAATAGCGAGCCTCTCGAGTGGAACGACCAAATGACACGAGAAAGCATATTTTATTTCTCACAAGTTGGACCGTTTCATCGTGATATACACTAATTTATTCAACTCAAAAATTATTATAAAATGATGTAAAATTATAAAAAAATATTGACGATTAATCGAATTCTCAGCAAAAATTTGTTATTTCGGATTGTACGTTAAAATCAAAAAATTCAAATTTCGCTCTTAACTTACATGAAGCAAGAAGTTAACCGTGACTCTACTTTTCAAGGCGTGCCTTCCTTTTACTTTTAAACGTGTACTGAATACTGCACCTTGTCAGCTACATCCTGTTTGTTGATCCGAATATTCTGCATTTCAAGTTCCAGCGTTTTGAGTCTTTTGATTTATCTAGAGCATGACTGATGAGATTTATAAACATTTAGATGGTTTCATTTTTTAAAGGAAAATTATCCAACTGAATCTATGATAAAATTATTAATATTTATTGTAATCTTTAGTACTGTTCATCAAAAATTACAATGATCAGAATAGAAAAAATACCAAATGCTTTTTCAAACAGAACCGAAAGCGTAATCACGAATTCAATAAAAGTAATGAAAGTAAATATTGATTTTGCTACCTTCGCATATTTTAAATTAATTCTACACACTCATAATCGAAGGAAGCCACAAAAGTACAATGATAATTTTGATTTGCTAAAATCCAATCGCTATAGCCAATGTAACTTCAGTTTTTATCCAGTTCAGTATTGAGCGAGCAATTGCGCCACATGCCGCCCCTGGCCACCTCGACGCTGAACGCGTAGTTTCGCGGGAAATAGGCGGTCGGCACGGTGTGCACGGTCGGCGCGAACCAACCGTAATCCATCGACGTGCTGCGATAGCATGGATGTGGATCGCCGCTCGAGGGGTCCATCGTCGACTGCCTGTAGCCCCTCAGCAGCTCTGCGGAACAAAAAAAAACAAGTACATCTCGATGAAGACTGAAAAACTTATGAAGTTACACGGATTGGGACATTTCCCATTAGATTTCGGACTGTTGTAAGCTGCACCGATGCGTATGCGGCCTGAAGGTCAATACACTCGCTGCGTTCAATACAGAGCAGAGCAGGATGCGCTGTTAAACACCGGATTTGCACTAAGCACGTGTACGACTAATATTTTGATTGATCCATCAATCAAATGTGCTTTATAAAGCGCTGAAATTTGCCATCGTAGATATTTCGTTCGCAGACTCGTGTTCTCTCTTGCCGATTGTCTGTGATAGCCACGTGCACGTATATAATTTTTTCGAAAAGTACATTCAATTAGGTTAATCGAGAGTATTTTGCATTATGAAACCCCAAAACTGGTGAAGGCCAACTGTGACTTTGATAGTGGCCGCAATTATAATAGTTAAAAAAATGCAACTGGTGTGTTTTTGATTTTACACGTGAATGTTGAAAATTCCTTTTTTTTTCATATGATACCAATTATAGGTGCAATTTTGCTTATCTTATGCTATGATAAATTAACAGGAGCCTGTCGAACTATAAATATGCGTTATAAGTGGGAGATGTACGTACTTGGATACATGAATCGCAAAGGTATATTGACGGTTCGATAAAGCTCGTCTGTTCTCGGTCCGGTAAGGTCTGTACATTCGATCTTCATTGCTCCGATGAATTCGATTGTTTGAATATAAGCACCAAACTCGAGTCACGTTTATTTTTGTCGAACAATCATGACGACAATTCGGCTTTTTGCATCGACAAAAAACGTTTGAGCCATAAGGAAGCAGTCGTCGACGCTTTGGCCGCGCACAAAGGTGGCTTTATCAACGTCGTCATGGCAACCAAAGTCAAGACACTTTTCTAACATAAATATATTTGTGTCAGAGCCATCACTAAAACGTTAAACTTTTTTTAAAACGAAATACACAATCTCAAAATTTTTAGTCTACGAAAAATCGTATAAAAGTTAAAAAAAAATACTAGTTTTCCTCTCCTATTTTTTAACTATTTAAAGTTTTCATACTATACTTATCAATTCTTCAATAACCAAAATAAAGTGATGAGTTTATTATCTCGAGGTTTTTGTATGATAATAAATAAAAATACAATTATAGGTGTAGATTTGAGTTTTATAATAGATATCTATGATAAAAAAAATATTTGTACTAAATTTATTACGAATTTTCAGCCATATTAATAAAATAACAGAGCCAACTATATTTTTTCCAACACTTATCAGAGGTAGATAAAAACTCTTGAAAGTATACCATCATATGTGACATTACCTATTGAGTAGTTATGTATGGATAAAATAGAAAATGATAATATAAAAATTATTACCGTCAATAACTTGATACGAAAAATTTTATAATAACAATATAATTATGAGAAGTTGATCATGTAGAACGATAAAGGTTTTTTACGAAACTTATAAAAAATTAATCTGATAGAGCGATTTTCACGCAGAGTACTTTAAAGCTAAAAAGCATTGACAGGGGAGAGAAATGAAAGATACAAATATGGGTTATCAATTGCCTCCAGTTACAGACTCATAAATCTTTGATAAAAGTAAAATTTCTCGTTTGCCTAACATTCTATAATCACCCCCGATATTTAAAGAATTATTAAAAATAGTACGAATTAAAAAATCATAAAAATGTTTTAGGCTTTAATTACAGAAATAAAAAAGTATTTTCATACATATTTTAAAAATATCTAATATCAAGAGTTGGGTAGCACCTCACTGGCAAAGTATAAAAAAAAAATCATAAAAAAATTATTTCAAAAAAAATTTATTTAAAAGAAAAAAATTAAAATTTGAAAAAAATTTCATAAACATTAATAATGTGTTTCCTCGAAAATCGTACTATATGTGGTTTCGTGGTGTAGCGGTTATCACGTCTGCTTTACACGCAGAAGGTCGCCAGTTCGATCCTGGCCGAAATCATCTTTTTGCGCTCTGACCATCACAGAAACGCAAAAAAATCGTATATTGATCTTTTACAAATGCTAAAATGTGATTCACAGCGTTATCTGCGTAATTTTTTTAAAATAAGAATTTAATTATGAACCTAGCTCTATATATTTCAGGAGTTTCAAATTTCGAATATTTAAAAAATATGAACAAGTTTGGGTTGTCCAATTTTCATTAAAAGTAATAGAGAAAATCTTTGTGAGATTGTGCAGGAAAGTAAAATCAAATAAGTTAGAAACTATGTTGGCAAGTTAATTCGAATATTGGTCGAGTGTGTCTTGTAAATATTATTATACAATATATTTTGAATTTACTTTCAAACATTTTAGCTTTTTATTGTTGTTAATTATTACATCTTGGTTTCGTGAAAGAATTTATCTGAATATCAGTACAGCATAACTTAAAAAAACATAGTGACTATGAATTTCGATAAACATTGAGTTTAGTAATATGTTAAAAACCAATGGTATTTTATTAACTTTTTGCTATTCTTTCAACAATTTTTGATATCAAGTATCTTATTTGTCATAGCTATTTTTATTTAATAATTATACATTTAAAATAAGAATTATCTATTATAAAAAAAATCAATAAAAGTGATACTAAAACTATTTGACTTTTAAGCTATTTCATTAACTTTTCCCATGACATCAAGCATTAAAGGTTAGTCTAAATGTTTTATCTCATCAGAATTTATAAGTTCTTTAATATGCAGTTAAATATGATTCAATGCTATCTCTTTTAACTCAGCAGCATTATACTTATCAGCCATCTATAGAACTTTAATGACACTTTCATCAGATAAATTTGAGATGATGATCAGTTCACATCCACATCTTAATCCATCGATTTGATTTTTATTGGTTGCTATGAAAAGTTTGTAAATAAATTATAACTTGTTCATTACAAAAGCACCTTTGTAGATGTATCGCAGCATTTCAAAAATAACGTTAAAGTGAATATCGTCCACATTCACTAAGCTTAATTTTTTTTTTCCAAAAAATCGTGAGTAAACATTTCTTTGAAAATTGGGCATGCAGAAGCAAGCATAAACATATGTACAGGAACTACTTTTCTATTTATGGTGCTTGGCAATGTAATATTAACAAACTTTTCGATTAAAAATGACCAATCGAAATCTAACTCACGTATGATCTTATATTCAAAGTGAATCGATTTTAAATAAATTTTTGTTTTATAATCACTATCAATGGTTAATTCACAATAAATGGTTTAGTTATAGTGTCTTGAGAGAAGATACGAACTAAAAATGTATAGAAAAATACACAATTTCCATTTCCTATCAAAAACGGAATAAATTTTTTTATAAGTTTCATTGATTTTTATAATGAATTAGGATTTCTCGATCTATTTTCTATTGCAGATGAGTCTTCGACAAATATCTGGAAAGTCAGGGTTAAATTTTTTACGTAACAAAAAAGGAAGTAGTCGATAGAAGTACAAGTGTTATTTTGTGAAATGAAAAATGAGTGGCAGTCTTATAAATATTTTATCGAACTTTTAATTTCCATAATTTTGATAGATATTTGTTAGTATTTTTCAAATTCATCAACAAATATCGATTTACTGAAATTGACTATTAAATTGTAATAATTTTAGAGTACAGTTAATTTTTGATAAGTAAAAAGTACGATATTTTCATAATTTTGTCTAGAAAATTTAAAATAACTCCTAACATTTGTGCCATATCTTCCATTGTGTGAATGACAATTGATATATTTTTTAAGGACAATAAAATGTGAGCTAATGACATGTAAGGCAAATTTTTAGGACAAACGTTATAATTTTCAATAGTCATCAATTTGATATCAATCAACACTTAATTAAAATAACAAATTTTGACTGTTTCCAATAGTCAAGGTTCATCTTATCAGAATTATTAATTCATTGCGAAGTTTACTCGTCATTAGTCAGCTCAGCTTATGTGGAGCGAAATTCAATTGTCACAACATACATTCGCTCGGCGTGTCGAGCGCGTCAGCAAAACATCCCAAACAAAGCGAGCGTGTGTAGAGCAATGAGCCACGTTATAACACAAGTCGCGCGAAAATCGGCATTGATACACACGCTCTCGTCATGCAGGAAGAGAGATCGCTCGAGAGGTTTGCAATTAATGGTTAAAACATTTTTTCATCCACCAAATACATACATAAACGAAGGCGCGGCTCACACGCCGGATACATTAATTAGACGCAACTTAAGTTCCTTAAGCCAATAGAGTGAATTATCAATCACGTGTTCATATTTTTTCTTCGACGCATCCCACCGCTTACATCCATGAAAAACCAAAAAGAGCCGGTTGGAATTTATTGTTTAGACAAGCTTACAGTATGCACATGTTTGCAATTATATCATCGACGACAATAAGTTTCGCGATCGGCATTTTCCTTTTCGTTTGTTTTGCGCAACAAAGCTCGACGGCGACGGCGCAACAGCTCATGGGTAAGAACTTAAAGTTGCTTAATTGATTTTTTTTCGCCGATGCGCATAAATTATTCTCAATTTTGACTCAACGAACGACCCTGGTTCGTATTTTTGCTCGCCAGGCATCGAAGAAAAGTGCAACATCGAGGGTCAGCCGATAAGTGTCAATGATATACCGGGCATGAGGTGCTTCGATTGTACCTGCAAGGTAGATATGTTTTTTTTGTTGGAACGTCAGTTGTTTGTAATTTTTTATTAACTCATCTGAAGTTGAATCCCTCGCAATTGTGTTCATTAGAACGGATACGTCGTGTGTCAGAAACATCAGTGCGAAGACATCGAGGGCTGCTACGTTTTGCATCAGGTCAACAAAAACGACTGCTGTGCGCCTTGCAAAGGTAAAAAAATAATAAATTGCGTATACCATTGATTTGACCGAATTTGTTTCAACGTTTGTCCGAAAATCAAAGGTTGCACGAGAAACGGAATTCATCATCCGTCCGAGAGTTCGTGGACGGAACCTGGTGATCCCTGTCGAACGTTTTCTTGTAAAGCTGGGGTAATTACGGAATCGCGCATCGAATGTTATACGCCTTGTACAGAGTCTTTGGCACCGGAAGTTGGACAATGTTGCCCAAAGTGTCCAGGTAATTGCGTAGTTTTTCCTCTCGTAATTTGCTTCATTTGCAAAGTGACATTTTTTCTGTTTCTCAAGCCAAGGGCTGCGAACTGCAAGATCAAATAATCGACACGAATACTCACCTTGTGACAATAGACGATCCATGCGTTACTTGTAGCTGTTCAATGGAAAATATCAACTGCACCAAAAGAGTGTGTCCAGTTCTCAACTGTCCATCGTCGAAAATTGTTCATGACCGCGACGAGTGTTGTCCACGCTGCCTCGGTAATTTTTAACAAATTTCCATTAAAATACAGTGTGAAAACCTGTCAGCAGTAAGTACCAACTTTGTATTTTCTTTTTCCGTACGCACAAAAAAAGGTAGTGGCAAATACTTGGATCCACCGAACGGCGACTGCTTGCTCGACATGCAGGTTTATCGCAACGGCAGCCATTTCAAATTGGACGATTGCACCGATTGTCGCTGCACCGATACGGTCCTGCACTGCTCCAAGCGGAGCTGTCCCGTTCTTCGATGCAAGCGCGAGCATCAGACGACAACGCCTGGCTACTGCTGTCCACAATGTAAATACGGCACGGAGATGAATCTGAGACCAAAGCCAAATAGAGTGAGGGTCGGTACGACGACAACGACTACGCCGAGCTCGAATCCCAATAAACAATTTAGCGATCCTCATGGAATCGATCAAAGTTCGAATCAACATACGAATAAGCTCAAAGATACGAAAGTTGTCGAGTCGGAGGATTACTACGACGATTACGTAGAATCTCAAAACGAATACGAAGATTATGCAAAGCCATTAGCTCCGTCGAGTTCAAAGAGAAAAGCGAATTGCGTCGTCGATGCCACTGTACACAAGGTTGAATCTTTACTACTTCTTGTTTGAGCTTTTAATTCGCGTTCATGGGTCCAATGGAAACCTTATGCATTACAGAGCGGCCAAGTATGGAATACAACAGCGTGCCAAACCTGCAAGTGCTACGATGGAAAAATCGATTGCAAGCCGCTGATGTGTCCAGCCGTGACTTGCCCGAAAAACAAGCAATTGCGAATTCCCCCCGACCAGTGCTGTCCAGTCTGCTCGAGCGGTAAGTATAACGAACAAGCATGGATATGGAATTTTTCCGGGTTCAAAGCTAAGCTGCACGTCGACGTATTTTCAGCGCGAGAGCCTCAATCCGGCCAGCAAGAGCAGGCGCGCACCTGCACCGTCTTCGGAGGCTCGCACTTTCGCAGCTTCGATGGCAAGATGTACTCGTTCATCGGGTCCTGCAAGTATCAACTGGTCGGTGATTGCGACGCCGGTACCTTCAGCATCCGCCTGAAGAATTCCGTCGTTGGCAACGACGCCAGCATGAAGAGAATATCCCTGCGATTGGCCGGCGCCAGGATAGATCTGCAGAATAATCGCAATACCAAAGTCAACGATCGAATCGTCGATTTACCCTACAAGTTGGGCAAAAAATTGGATATACACGAGACGAGCGACCACATAGTCATCGTTAATTCGAATATCGGTGTCAAGGTTCTCTGGGACTACGTCGGCTTTCTCGAAATCACGGCCAGCAAGGATTATCGCAAAAAACTCTGCGGCCTGTGCGGCAACTACAATTCTGTACCTGACGATGACTTGACAACTCGGGAAGGTATCCTGGTCGACGATCCGGCCACTTTCGCACAGTCCTGGTCGACCGATGACGTGTGCCACGAAACGCGAAATTACGGCATACGCGGCTGCGATCCCAAAAAAGACCACAGGTGAGTATTTTTCCACGAGCGTTCGCTTCCTTCACTGACCATATTTCCTTCCGTAGGTTGTGCAATTATATCAAAGGACCGGCATTCGAGAAGTGCAGCAAAAGGATCAACGTCGCGCCCTACTACGAGGCGTGTCTCAGAGATATGTGCCAGTGTCAGACTGACGACTTGCTCTGCCACTGCGAGTCGTTCGCTAATTACGCGCGAGACTGTAGGCGACTGGATATTTTGCTACCGAAGTGGCGAAAATCTGTCGGTTGTCTCGCTTAAAATTGCGAGCGAGCATAGAGTTCGTTGAATAATGTCTGTATTCAATACTGCTCCAACGATAATGTTAAGTTTCAATTATTACATTTTTGTTAACGTATTAATTAAGAAAGATAATAATTTATCTGAATCTCATCGAAAATAATTTGCCTAAAATTTCTTATCAATTTTTAATACATTCATTTCTTTCGATAGTTACTAATTATCGTCGTGTAAGATATGGCTCAAAAAATTAAATTCAGAAAGGGTACAAGTCAACCATGAATTGAACTTCCAATTTTTCAAAGTCTTCCTTTAAACTGTTTAAATAGCAATGGATTTTGCTGAGCCAATGGTTTTTCTTATCCGCTGGTTTAGGTATTTGTAGGTGAACAAGTTCAGGGCCTTGAATTCGAATGAAATTGTTATGCTTTGTCAAAATCAAAAAATAAATCGTTATATATTGCTTACGAGTAACTCCATATTTAATTTGACAGCACATTGTTAAAATTGTTACAAAATCTTGAACTTGACCGATGTACTCGAAAAATTTGAGGTTTGGTAAACGTGCGAGAATCAGTCTCAAATGAGCATCGATGAACTCGCGATGATTCCATAAATTGATGTGTAACTGAACTACAAATAACTTCAAATGTCAAAGGAAAGTAAAATTTGGTTACTCTTGTGTCTATATTTCATACCTAGGGTTCGATGATACCACAAATAAATCGTCTTCAAAGTGCAATCTATAAAACAAGGCTTATCATAGACAAATTGAAGATTTGTGGCTAATGAAAAAGTTTCAACGGGAATATTTGCCGTTAAAAACTTCTTGTGCTGATCATAGTGTGGCATACCAACTGTTCGATAAGAATTATAATTTACTTCAAATTTCAAATAATTTTTAAATTATACTCAAAATACGAATACAAACTCATGAAAATTTGAACTTTCAATTTAGGTGAGTATTTTCTAACTTCGATCCAAGTATCATCTGGAATAGTCACAGAATTTTTTTCACCTCTCTCATTAAATGTATCAGGAATTTCGTCTTCTTGACAAAGTAGTTGCAGCCATTTCCAATTTGGCCCCGAGACACTGTGCAAAGGAATTGTTTAATTTTAAAATAAATTTAATTTAAATTGAAAAAAATTCCTTCTTGAAGTTAAACTTAAATCATGCAAGTCTTACTGAGCTAGTTGAAGTATTACGTGTCCACTATCTGAGGCAACACAAGAATAATTCACAGAGATTGTTTCCAAAAATCTAAAGTTTCCAATTGCATTTAACCAAAAGTATTGATCAAATTTATAAAGTCCATCCGATTCTCGGGGTATGAAATATTCATTTTTTTTAAAAAATCTCCAAATGTACAAGAAGCGAACGTAGAAACTTGAAGAAGAAAGTGATGTTAATATGTCAAATCCTTCAATTTTTGATACCTGCAAGCCTTCTAAGCAAACTACTTCGAGCTCTTGTTGCTTCCTGAGACAGAATTAAAATTTACGGTACTCAAGAAATAACTTTAATGATAATATTAGACATTTTACCTTAAGAATTGTATTATTTTTCTGATAAAATTTTTGCGATCTATCAAGTCGAATCGTTTGACGTCGATCAGTCGCTCCGAAAGTAGGACGTATTTTAAATTACTGTCCTTCACTGTGGCTCTACAATAAAACAGGATCAGTTATCTGTTGACTGGATCATTGCATAGTATCATTTCATATAATCGTACTTTGAAAGAGTGGCTTTCAAGGCGTAATTGAGTCGTCGATAATAAAGTTGATCGCGCTTTTCGTTCGTGGCAAATGCATGCCAATAGAGCTTAGACTAAAATAAAAAAAGTAATTTTATACTATTTAGGATTTGATTAAATTCTCTAAAATATACAAGGTGCTTACTTCATCAGTGAATAATGGTCCATTAGATAACGTTTTTGGTACTAAATAATCTGTGCAATGAAGCGAAAGTTTCCAGTATTTCCGACGTTTCTCTTGAATCCATCTCAAATTTTCTAATAACTCGTTCTTTTTATCATGATGATATTTCAATGATAGTCCTAACATTGTAATTAATTTTTCTTTTTTAGAGTTGCTTCAAAAATATTTATTTTCAAGGTTAGATTTAACATTTCGGTTGTTTTTATTTGCAATTGAAATTCTACAATCATCCAATGAATTTTAAATGAATTTTTTATTGAAATTTTAATCGGTAATGTCGATATTACTTAAAACTAAAATCTCGAAGCATAGAATTAATATACAAAGAGTTTTAATTTTTGCTCGATTGAAAAGTTAAAAACAAATATTTATCGTAAATTTACAAATAGCGCGGAATACCAGTTCCGTTACATAAATGCTATCGTCAAAGACTAGATCATAAAATACACGAACATAGTGAAAATCGTTTCGGAAATCGCTTGACAATTAAAAACTCTCTCTCAACTATAAATTCCATACGAAGCAAGTTGTTGATCGATCCATTGTCTACTTTGAGCGACGTTCGAATATACTCCAGGCGTATTCGTGCCGCATCCGATACCCCAGGATACAATTCCAGCCTGGGATGAAAGAAAATAAAATCAGCGTTGGTTTTGGCCTTTTGCGAACACATGTCGGTACATACCTGTGTGAATCGACCCATTTGATCGGCACACACCAAGGGTCCACCGCCGTCCTTTTGGCAGGTATCTTTGGTGGCCTGTCCACCGGCGCATATGAAACTGGAGTGCAGCTGGAAGAGCGGGCCAAGCCTCGTGGCCCTGAGACTCGTCTCGCAGGCCGCATTGTCCACGATCGGTAAGTCGACTTTGCGCAATATCGTTTGGTACTGGCCGTCAGCACCTGCGGCGTGATCGAATCATCGCGAAATTATTTGCAACGCTCGAGCATAAGAAATGGTTGCGTACAACGCGTTATATAATATGAATCGAGACGGTCGTCATCGTACCGTAGGCATCGCGTCCCCAGCCGGATGCGTAACAAAGCGCGTTGGTAGGGAAAACCTGTCCTTGGGTCGGCAAACACACGGGCCTGACATTGACCGAGTACGTGACGGCTCGGGATAGTATGACGAGGGCAAAGTCGTTGTGCAGTCCGGCAGCCTCGTATTGAGGATGAATTACGATGGCCTGCGAAGTGATCTCCTGGTAAGGCAGAGGCTCGCTCGACGTCTGAGTATTCCACTCGCCGAGGCGGGCCACCAGTGTACCGGGCTCGCAACTGCGATTTTCAGAGATCAATCGATTATGTTGATTTTTCATCGAAACAACAAGTTGACGAGGAACAAACCTTACGACGCAGTGGGCCGCAGTCAAGACCGTCCTACTATTGATAAGAGATCCGCCGCATTGCAATACGTCCCCGCTATCGGGCTTTCTAACCAGCAGAAGAGCCATCCAGGGAAACTCGCCGAAATAGGCAGTCGTGAGCGAGTCCAGTGGGCCTGCGAATTGAGAATGTGCAATGAAATTTCTATGCATCGGAGCAAAAGAAAATCGACAAGAGTTTGGCAATCGTCATTCTCACTGGCATTGGCGTAGGTAGAGTCGCGAGTGCCACAGGTCAGCGCAGCTGGAACGGCGACGTCTGCTCTCTCGCGTCTCGTCAGCCTGCAACAGACGAGGACCGAGCTGGCGCAGGGCCCGAATCTCGGGTCGATCGCGCCCAAGCCGTCGTTCGTCACCGCCTCGCCGTCCGGACACTGGTTCGGAGCCATGCACGTGCAGGCGTTCGGGGTACCTGTGGATGGCCGAGTGTCAGCATGATACACGGACGATAGGTACGGATGATCGCGTCGATCGGTCAATACTTACCGGGATTCTTGACGTCGCCCAGCGGCAAGATGTTGGGAACGAGATTGGAGCCGGAGCCAGCGAGCACGAGGCCCGTGCTGGCCGGCAGAGTCACCGGATTGTCCGGCATGATGCGGCAGCAAACGCTGTTGGGCATGCCGCAGCTGCCACCGGATTGCCGACCGATCACCACTCGAGGATCCAGAGACGGCACTGCGGAAATCGGTATGTAACCCAGAGAACAGGCTGGAACGAGCATACACAGGCAGGTCGGATTGTAAACGACCGGCGGTGGCAAGGTCGGCCTCGGAGTGGTTGTCGTCGTGGTCGGGGGCGTGGTAGGGATCGTCGTAGGTGGCAGAGTCGGCGGAACTGGTGTCATGGGCAATTGAGGCACCAAAATACCTGCGTAAAAACCAATAAAGATCCATCTCCGTCTGCCAAGTGTTCGAATTCCAACGTTTGCTTACCATTGCAACAATAAAATGTGCCGAAGCACGGGTTTACGTAGATCTGTTGACGCACGTCGTAGCAGAGATTCACGATTGCTGGCCTCGGAGTAGTCGTCGTCGTCGTCGTCGTCGTCGTTGCTACAGTTGTCGGTATGGTCACGGTCGGTTTTGGTGTAGTAGTCGTCGTAGTGGTAGTGGTCGTGGTCGTTGGAATAGTCGGGGCAGGTACCGTAGGCGGTGGTGCTGCAGTTGCCCGCAGGTAGCAGCAGACCTCGGATGCAGCATTGCACTTTCTGTTATTGTGCCTGTAGCAGAGTAATCGAGCAAAAAATTACAAATGTTCGCATGCTCGAAATCGTTTAAAATTAATCTCGCTATAATTTAGCGATTTGAACTTGAAGCTCTTCACGCACAACATTATAGTCTTATTAAAGGCAGCGCTGCAGCACTGATTGATCGTTGCACACACATGTGCATTTTAAGCTCGCCATTATGTAGTTTGCTTCGAGCCAACGCAAACAAGCTCGTACAAGCTCGTAGCGCGTGTATCAAGCACGAGAGCTCGAAACAATTGGGCCCAATTGTGGCCGCGCGAAATCGAGCGCGTTATAAAACTTATTAATTTCGAGCGCTCGTGCATGGACGCGTGCACGAAGATAAAGGGAGCGCGCGCTTGATTCGTTCGGCTCGTCTGCATTCGGAAACTGGGTCATCGCGCGTTTATGTACGTACGAGATGCAACATTATGCATTGCAATCAATGCGAACGAGGAGAGACCTCAGCGGGCATGTTGTTCTCGTGCGCAGCTCCGGGCTTTTCCTTGTTTTTCCGCGATTATAATTGTAGCAAATATTTCGCCCGCGTACAGCCGCGATAAAAAAACACGAGCGCAAGCTCCTGCCTGAAATGACTTTGACTCTCGCGACGACAAACATTTCGTTGTCAATGCGACTATTGTTGAGCGGACACCGTGCTGCGATTTGTTATTTTTTCCGCTCCAATCGGTTCGTTGCTCGGGTTTTTTCGCGCGCGCGACGATTGTTTTATTTTTACTATCGCTCTCACCTGTAGTCGATTACGCCACTTCCGTCGTTGATGATGGTCCCGTTGGCGTTGCAGAGGTAAAAGGGCACGCAGATGCAGCCGAGGAAGTTGGAGTGAGACGGCGTCGGGATGTGCTGCAGCTGCTGCAGCTTGTGAAACTTTTGCTTGAGCAGCTTGAGCAACAGCAGGGTCCTGCCCAGGGGCTCGTCCGTGTGGTCGTAGTCGAGTCCGCTCGACTCCTCGAACGAGTCCTCGAAGGTGACCCGGTGGTCCTGTTGGCTCTCGGCCGAGCGATGATCCGAGTTGCTTATGTCATCCTCGACGATGAGCGGCGAGCTCGAGGCGACGTCCAGCGACGCCAGCAGCAGCAGCAACGAGGCCACGAGAAGCAAGATCGTCGCCGGCGTCCTGCGCGACATCGCTCAAACGAATGAGCTGCCTCGAGCGTGGCAAAGATCGAAGCCCGCCGCCGCCGCTGATGCTCGTGTGCGCCTCGTCGCTGACCGAGGCGAGAGGGAGAAGCCGGTCGCGATGTAGCAACCACGAAATCGATCGCCGAGCACTATACATATACGCACAGGCGCGCGCGGACCGACCGATAAGCATCTCTCGACGCGAGCGAGAATTTTGTCATAGCTGCGTGTATCGGCTGCGTTGTTCAGCTGCTAAGAGACCGATGCATAATGCATTCAACTCGCTGCCTCGAGCGTGACCGATGTTTCATTTTTGCCGCCTCTCTCTCTCTCTCTCTCTCGTTCTTTCTTTTTTGTTCTTCTTTGGAATTATTTTTCGAGCCAATTATTGTCATTTGTTGCACGAGCCACGTAATAACGATCTTTATCGAGCTGCATTTCTGACACACGTCTTCTCTTTCTAGAACGAAAATTCGAATCTGCTGTATGACCGAGTGGGATTTCGAAAATTTCTGGCTTCGTAATTCCGCTGAGGTGTACGCAGTCTGTGTTTGCTATTTGCGCCTCGGATTCTTACGCAGGTACAAATTTTGAGTTTCGCAATCCAGTCAGAAACGCGCGTAAACGTAAAGGAGTTGCCGAATTAAGAAGAAATGCGAATTCGAGCGAGACCGTATAATTTTTACAACTTCATGAATCGCCATGAGAAAAGCGTTAGAAGTCGACGTCCGATGAATCACCGATTATTGTGGGCCCACACGATGACCCGAACCTCTACGTCAGAGGCTCGCTCCACGCAAATCGATGTTGTGGAAGATCCCGAACTGACCCACTTCTCGACTCTCCTGCGACCGGCTAATGAAATCTATTGCAAAATTCAACGCGCGTGCAGTATTATTTGCCGTATAAAAACGCACACAGCTCTTTTTGCAATGAGCCAGCGCGCACGCAAAGTGATTAACGCTGGGTTTTTCACGTTTTCGCAATTACTGCGTTGGGTTATAACTCCGTGCAATCCTTGGGCCCGATTAACGTTTCTATGCAGTGTCCAATGCTTTGTACTAAGGAAAATTTTTTCAAAATAAAAACTGAAATAATAATTTTAACACATTTTTACAGACAAGTGGTGTATTTTTATTAACTTTTACATATCAAACACAGAAAGAATTATAAATGTATTTAGTAGAGCAATGAACGTTTTTCACGCTATGGCACTGTTCTCTATGAGAACGCTTTTTTTATAAAAGTATCAAATAGCTTAGACTAATTAAAAAATATATTTTATAACGCAGCGATAGCTCGATCTAATTATATTAAGAAAAATAAACGTACTGATATTCCACAATTACATTCTTTACCGTTTACACGTAAATATAAAATTGCAATAATTGACTTCAAATCACACTGGATAGTATGTCAGTACATTTGACATTTCATTAGCAATTAATTTACATGTATCGATGGACTTGTTACATATAAAAGTATACCATTAAAATTCTAACATACAAATGCAACTGATATCCATTTCAAGCAACAAAAGTAGTAAATCTATTATGAACGCTCACGTTTTGTATCATAACAGGCCGTATACACTTTTTTGCTTAGATGGGTACAATATACTTTGCATCGAATACTCTCTATGATGTGGAAAATTTAGTACTTCGTTGAAATATTAAATTTTATAACGCAATGAAATCACTTTTGCAAATACAATCAACTTACAAAAATTCTTTTCAGTAAAACTTAAAATTAAACAAACATATTTAATGTACAAATTAAGGAAAATTAATTAAATTATGAATTTTATGTAACATTATAGAAAATGTCCTGTCGATATTTACACTTTAAATTTCATACTTGAATAAAGCAAATGTTACACCAAATTAATTTAAATTGGTAAAATGAAGCTCACAGTAAATTCAGTGATATAAGGACAATTTGATTACATTAAAAATTAGATAAAATGTAAAAAGTTCGGTAAATTTGGATGTGCTAATTGTGGAAATTTCATGATTATAGTTTTAAATGACTATTAATGTTCTTCTAAGATATTGATTGAAATAAACAATTTTTTGTGATCACAACCATAAAATTTAAGAAAATTAAAATAAATCTCTATTGATTTGTGTGTGCATTGGATGTTTGTAAAAAAGAATGAAAATTGCTATTAGTTGAATTTTAATTAGGTGAGATTTTACTTCAATCAATATTTTTTGTAAAATCTTAAAAATTTGATTGGCACGCAAAATGATTGTTTTCAGTAGTGCTTCTGACTACTATCACTGAATTCACTCGTGGCGAAAAGCATTACACATAATTCATTAAAATTAAAGTATATGAATTAGATTTTAAAGAACAGAAAAAATTATTAGAAAAACCCCTACACTTCAATAAAATTTCACAATACAATTTCTGCATTTTATAAGGACTTTAGATTAATTTTATAATAATAATTATAAATGCGATTGATTAAAGTAATAAGCTCAATTTAAATCTGAAATCTAATCAATGGTTTCAGTTTACAATTATGATTCGTTTGGTAGATACATATGACAGCTCTACGAAAATAGATTTAAATCTTCGACATAAAAAGCAAGTCTTAGTAGTGACTCTCAAAGATAAGTGTATTACTATATTATTATTGTATTATTATATCACAACAGGTGAAATTTCACTCAAGTTATTCTTTGAAAATCACTACTAAAACATTGTCAAAGTTTAGATCATTAAAAATAAAAGATTATGTATTTCAAGTGGCATTATTCTTCAAGAAGAATAAAATTATTATGAATAAATTGAACTCCAAAATTAGATGCTACAAGTCCGTAAACATGCATAAAAATATACTGTTACAATTCAAAAAATATATAAAAATTGGAAATTATAACTATTGATCACTGTTTTATTCATACTATCAATGAACAAGTACTAATAAATCTTGCAAATATCTAAATCAGTATGAAAAAGTTAGATTTGTACCTGATATTTTAATACTACTACAAACTAATAGGATTGTACACTTTTCAATATTATTAAATAATAAATCCATGTGCTTTACCAGTTTAATCCAGGTAATATTTTTCAAAAGCTAGCAAATTATTATTCAAAAATTTTAAAAGCTCAATACTTTTTTGTTAAATCGGTAATCGATTAATCATTATTCGATCCATACTTTCTTTTTTCATAAAGTCATGATAAATCTAGAACTTTTAAATAAGCTCACTAGTGATATATTGTCTATAAAACTTATAGAAAAACTGGGAAAATGTTTAATCTTTAACATTCAATTTTTTTTCTTAACTTAAGAATCGTACAATATAAATCTTTTTATAATGTTGATTATGTATTTTCCAGGTCAACATGATACTTGTAGTAAAAAGTATATAAACTTAACCAGTCTAGTTTCAAAAATTAGTTTTTCACTCCTAAGAATAACGAGGTGTTTTCATGATCTATAATTATTAGCTAAGTTTAAGCTAATACTTTTATCAAAGTCTCAATAATCTTTAGTTACCATAATATTGGTAGAAAAAAATTCAACTATATACAGTAATTTGAGAGATATAAACCATTCTCACGTGATCAGTTTATAATAGAAATGTTCTATTGTCGTTAATTTGACTCATAAAAATGTTAGAAAAAAAACTCATTATTCAACTAATTTAAAAAATCTATAAACCTGGATGATTTACTTGGGTGGGCTACGACGTCGTCCACAGGAATTTCGAAGAGCTTTCAAAGCATTCATTGATGCTAATTGTTGGGTGTGCTTATTCGAGTTGATAGGACAGTACTTGATGGTGTGAGCCTTATCACCATTTGCTTTGCAAATGGGACAAGTGTATCTCCTATAAAAAAAATTGGTATTACATTTTTGCAAGACAAAGACAAATTTTTACAATATGAGTAAATTAACAAAAATATACCTCAAAATGGGACACATGATCCTTCCGTCGTTATCTTTCAGAAGATGATTTTTGTAAATTTTAGCATCTTCTCCGTTGTTTTTACAAAAAACACATTCAGTTGGCAGAGGTTTCTTGTTTCTTTTCTTATGAATAACAACAGGTACAACATCCTGATCTGGACAGTATTCATAATCTTTGCCATTGCTTTTGAATTCTTCCCAGATTTCATTATCTATAACAAGGTAAGAGTGAAATTGTAGAATTAGTTTAGAAAGGTAGACTGAAATTCAATTTAGGAATAATGTTACGTAGGTTGCTTCATTTGTTGTCATGTTGTAAGTAAAAAAATTTAAGCTATGAAACAAATAGTGAAGTTTATAAGTCTTGATCATTTTTCAAAATTTTTGATAAAATAGGTGAATTCCTACTGTCCTTTTTATATGTGAGTTGAAAAAAAAATTCAAGTAAACATTCATAGTTACAGCGACACTCCTATTGCTGAATAGAAGGGCGAGGGTATACGCGTTCACGATAGAAATTTGAAAAGTATCGTAGCAGGATGCATCTAGAAAAATCTAGATCATGATCACACTCTGGATAACAGCACTTGCGGTTGTAAAAAATGTTCAATAACGATTTTTTACATGCAGCTCGAACTAAAAAATCTCATCAAGTTTAAGATCAATGATTAATCGCAAATCGAACGTTAGTCGTAAATTGGATAAATGAAGCGCGAGCGACGCGTGCCTCTTGTAAGCGGGCCGCCTCTCGTGCGATGTTTACGAATGTGGAGACCGCGCGCGCGCAAGTCGGTGCAAATCAACACGGTAGCAGTGTAGAGGCGCGCTATCAAAGGGGACCGGCTACAGGCGCTGAAGGCGGCGTCTCTTTGTTTTTCCGCACGCACAAAGCAGCGGCGAAAATTCAACGCTCGGGGTTCTGGGAATTTAGCGAGGCGGTAGCCAAACTCAAGGTGTCTTACGAACGCGGCGGCTATGTGCCTTTGTACATGCTTGGAGGGGTTTTTCCGCCGAATTTTTGCGTCGGCTCGAGTACTGTAGCGCTTATCAAGTAGAGCCGCTTAGAACGACTTTGCGGATGAATTTTTTTCGCAAGAAAAATTAAGGGCGGCATTTAAAGCAGAGACATTAATTCAATGATTAAGTTGCAATGAAAAATATTCACGGATTCCTTCGAAATGAGCGCGTATGCTTTGAACACAATCGGGTCAAAACGAGGATAATTATACGATTATTTACCACGAAATTTCAGAGTACTTCCATAATGATAGATTGAATAATAGTATGTTTATTATTGACAATTGTTATCTCTACGTAATCACGTACGACTTGAATTGATCATAAGGATTAAGTACGATACTAAGAAATACAACGTTGGGCAAGTTTTCGGTACTAGAGCAACAAGTACAGACTCTTGTTGAATCGACAAGGCATGACAAGATTCAAGGGCAAAGAACAAAATAACTGACTATAAAATCGCGAGCAAATGAAGGAAAAAAAAGATGAAGTTGGTTGAAACTTACCACAGTTGGAAGACTTTGTCGGCGACGTGCTGTTCTGGAAGAGCCTGTCGAACTCCTCGGAGAGGCTTGGATTGAATGGATAGCCAAAGACGGACGAGAACAGGTACTCGCCCTTCTCCTGGACGTGCTGATGGTTATTGTTGAGTTGACGCGGGTTCAGGGTCCTGTTGGCGAAGTCGAGGGTGGGCTTGCATCCACCGGTTGCTGCGGGATGCCTGTAGAAGTCGTAGAAGATCGGGTTGAACAAGTAGCTCTGCTGGTGCGTCATTCCGATCGGCGGAGCGTTGAACATCCTTGCTGTAGTCGCCATTACAAGTCTTGCTTTTTCTTTGCACTGTTGCAAAAGTCTAGAGCGTTGACGATTCGATCGCGGTGAAAATTGCTAACAGCTCGATAGCAACTGTGATACGTGCGGCTACAATTGGATCGCGTTTTTTTATTTCAGCAAGACAATTATAAAAAGTTTTGTTTTCGATTTTAGATAACCGGTGTACGCGTTAGTGTGAATACACAGTCGTAAATTCAACAAGGCTGCTGATCAAGTCGAGTCGACGAGCGTGTACTGACTAATGCGAGCTAGCGTGGCTTCGATAACACCAAGGGACACCGTCGCGACGTCTTCGAGCTGTGATAGAAAACTGCAGCGCCGAGAGCAGCCGAGAGCCCGGCAGGACCAAACTTCTACGCCCGTGGGCCAAGGGAGGGGGGTGACAGCCGCGCCAGTCTTGGCCAATGGCAGTCTCGAGTAGCGAGGGGCGGTACTGACGCGTTTTCTTGGCCCCTCCGCGCAACTCGCAAGCCGAGCGCTCCTCGTGTCGTGTTGACGCAGCGGCGATTCTTGCGGCAAATCGAGCATGTGTACTACAAGTGTACTACAGGCATTATAGCGACTTATTGCTGCCTATGTATGTAGCGGCAAGTCAGAAATTCGGCATGTTTACGCGCTTTTTTCGTGACGCGCGCTACATAAAGGAATCTGCGTAGGTACAACGCGTTGTTTTCGATGCGCAACTATTACTGCTTACATGCCTAACGCTCGCATAGAATTTTTTTATCAAGGACACGAGCCATACCAATTGCTCTATACAAGTACAAACAAGATCGCGTTATTTTCCATGGCGAGCGTCGTTGACTTGTATTTAGCTGGTAGCACGGCGTAACTTGTTTACGCTACACGTACTTGCGCGTCCTTACACCGAAGATCGACACTCGCACCTCGGCTTTGTTTTCTTGCATTCCAAACTTTTTTTTCTCGGCCAAATAATAGGTATTCCGAAACAGAACGCGACACAACTAAACAAGCAATGCTTTTGAATCCGCATCTACAGCCGATATTCGACTACGAAAACATGCAAATTTTCGTCAACTTGGTCGCGATCGGCAAAACTGACGAGTTGGCAATTCACACCTTGTTACCCAAATATTTTGCGTATCTGCTGATTGTATATATCAGCTTGAGTCGTGCAAACAGTAGCAGTGGCCATTTAAAAATCTTTGAACAAACTCGCATCGATCGTATACTGCATAAGTCCTTGTCGAGTTGCCACCGAATTCCTTTGGAAAAATTTGTTTATGCTCGTCGCATTTATTTATGCCACTTACGTCTATTAATCATATTTATTTATGCCTCTCACGTCTATTAATTTTATAAATAAATGTACGACGAGTATAACTAATTTTTAAGTCATTGATCTGTAGAACGTTTCTTCTAGAATCATCGTGCGCTCGTCATTCGTGTGAAGGCACAAGCTCAAAATCTTTTTACCCTTAAGCATGTGCAAACACGAGTTAATGTTCGTTACACTTGATTAATTGACATAAAAAAAAAAAAGAACGACTCGCGCATTTTACATATTTCTATACCTACTACGTCGGGATATGCTGCAAAGAGGACATTATCAAAATAGTCGTACACTTGTAGGCCACGCTCGAGTGCCTTTCATACTTTCTCAATATTCTTTAGTTACTCGTTACGATTATTTTACGATTGACAAAAGCCAAGACTTTTCCGAGAACAAGGCTGGATTTGAGTTGGCTATGATGAATTAATAGTACGTCTTTGTTCGAATGATACTAGCCGCAGTCAGTGATCACGTGACTTTCATCCGTTTTTTCGGTTCATGTCGAATGGAAAACGATGATTTATTGACCAACAGTTGCGACGTTTATTTACAATCCTGCAGGCTCATAAAAACAAGCAAACGCGCAGCCTCGGCGTTTTGTAGTGTCAAATTTCTCTCGAGTAGCTCGACAACAACGCGCAAATGCCTGTTGTTCTCTTAAAGTACACGTGTAATAGGCTCGAGAGAATCTGCATTGTTTACGATCGAGCAGCAACGGCCGGAGGTTTTTTCATCACATTTGACTTACAGAGTCTGCACTTCGAGCTCTCTTATGTTTTGATCGCGATTGAGAAAGAAGTACAAAGCGGTTTGATCATTGATGTCAATTAATATTACTTTTGAGCTAACTAGACGACATTAAATATACTGCATAATCTTTGAACACGCTAATTTTAAAATTAGAGTAACGCTCCAAGGATTAAAAACCATAATTACTATACCATACTATTAATTAGTATAGACTCATTAAACGCCAAATGATAATATTTCGAATAATAAATGATTATATTTATGTGTCGACGTAGTTTCATTTGTTACATTGCTCAGCGCCATTTATACGCTTATACGGCTACGGGTGGGCTCCATTGAATACGAAAGTTCGAGAGGCGTGCGCGCAAAGCCCCGTACCACAAATGGTTGCTCTGCGGCATGAATCACAGAAGAGAATAAGGCCCCGTCAATAATAGAATCGATCCAAAAGTGGGCCTGGCTTCTATCAAGAACGGCCTATGATTCTGAGCTTTAGAAAGTCATCTCTTTTCGTCCAAGTGTGAGCCACGTGTCTTACAAGAGATACTTTCTTGACAATTGACAAGAGTTATGAGACTTCAATGTTTGAATTTCTTACTATGTATTATGTTAACAAAGTTACAAAAATAACTTTCATTATTTATCACAAGTTTTAATCGGATTTATTTTCAAAAGAGAATGAACATTATCAACTTGCTAGCGTGTAACTCAATGAGCAAAAGTTACGAACGTCATGTGAATGACATATACTTTCATTGTTCATACCAAGGGTCATGATTCCTTTAATAGCTAGATATGAAATATATTTTACTATTATTAAGTCTAAGAATAAATCTTAAAAAAACATAAATCTCCTTTGTTCTTGATTGTAAGTACGAATGCTCTTTCAAATAAACGCGCTTAGTTTGAAAATCCCGGCTGCGCATGCGCGTCTCTGCAATGTTTACAATTTACATTCGCTGATAGCTGATCCGCAAGTCGCACGAATCCGAAGCCACATCCTATATATATATAATATATAAAGCACCGCATGCCAGATTTACAACATTGAATCAAATTATACGCGACGTTCACGTTGAACGTTCACGTCACTTGCGCACGTTCTACAATGATAAGGCAGTTGTGTTCTCGCTAATGTCCGCACAACAAAAAATCACTGAAATAATAAACGGATAACTTTTTTCCATTGATTTTAAAAGTATGCTTGTTCAGTGCACTAAAGAGAATTTTTTAGTGCTGGTACTCACACGTTAACGCGTATCTATAATTATTCGCGTGCATATGCGCGACCACGTTATATTACTTTAGTGTCGAACGGTCAGAAGTCGCCCAATTTACGAGTCCCCGCATCAAAAATTCCCGATAGCAAAGCCGAAAAATAGAGCATCTATACACGGTATCTTTATATACACACTTACACATATCGCGCGTATACACCTATATCTCTATAGTAAATACGAGTACACTACACAAGTATAGCAGCAGGCGCAGGCGAGTGAGAAGGATAGAAAAATCTACAAGTATCATCATCAGTCGAAAAGACCAGATATAGCGTACAGATCCACGTAAATGGTGTGTATCGCAGCAACAACATTGTACCATCACACTATTCATCGCTCGCGCTCGACTTTATTAAGAATAAAATCACTGCTGAACCAAGTAAGTATAATTAATAACAAACGAGAACGTACGAGCTCGAGTCTTCTGCTTGCACTCGTTGCAATTAAAGAAAAGTGACGAAAATTCCCGCATATTCTTTTTTTCGCTAATTTTGAACAGTCGGTTCGAGTTTATGGCTCGTAATTTTTACCGTTTTAAACGCATACAGCAGAATCGGCGTTACGCGTCTGGTTTCTCGAATTTCTTTCGATTCCCAGTTGTATTGATGAATGATCAATCGATACGCCTGCTGACGGGTGGTATATACGCGATCAACGGGTGTTGTTTCGAATAATTATCGCCGACTAATCGTGCGAATCTTTAGGTTATCGTCGAATTCAACGCTCCTTAGCGGAACACTTTTATAGAATTTGCATTTCTAATACGTGTATACGTAGTATTTTGGATTCATCAGCGTTGTGTACCTGCACTGCATACGCACGTATGAGTGTTGTGCTTGTGTGTTACGCTTTGCTGTGTTGTTACCTATAGAGTTCGCCGCGAGTACATCGAACACGTATACACAGACGAAAGCACAGCTGAAGGCTTTCCACTTTTAGAAAGTTGATCGTTTCTGTAGTTACGAATAAATTACGTCGAGGTGACAAGCAACGTTTAAATTCAATATTTTGATTTTCATGTGCTTTCTCATTAAAAATGCATATACTTTTTTACATAAGATGATCGTTTTCTGTTTTATTCTTATTTAATTTGTCTCATCTTCCGTGAAATTTGTGTCATAGCTTCAAAATCATATAGCCTTAACGCTTGCTTCTATCAATAGCATGATAACTAAGGAATTATGATGACATAGCGATTTTAGCTGTCCATCCTTTCAAAATGAAATTGCTATTTAGATTTTTGATATAAAATTTTATAATCATTAAATGAATTGAATATAACTCTATTTCATTTTAGAATGGCTGATACAACTTCAGGAACCGACAGTACACCTACGGTGCCCAAAGGGTTACCTGCATTAAAACAACAAATAATGCAAGATAAAATAAAAATTGCTCAATGGCTATTGAGATGTATAACTATTTTTTTCACTTTAATTTTTTTAATTCCAATAGTTGGGTAAGTTATATCTGTTGAATTTGTTGATCTCAAGTATAAAAATTACACCATTTTATTTCTTTTGCAGAAATCCATTTGAATCATATTACAAAATACTGCTTAGTTGTACAGCGACAAATCTTCTTCGACTTCATCAAAGGTTACCAAGAATTACCTTCACTAGAGAGTTTTTACAACTGCTATTCCTTGAAGATTCATTTCATTACTTGTTTTACACATTTGTATTTCAATACACTGCACCAGTTACATGTGAGTTCCTACAACTTATTGTAAAAGATTTAATCAATTCTATGCATAAAAATCAAATTTTTAATCGACCTAATGTTTCGTTTTCAGTGGTAATAATTCCAGTTTTCCTTTTTGCTCTGCTTCATGCTGCAAGTTATTCTTTGACTCTCCTAGATGTAAGTATTATCTATGACTCCTACAATTAGTGGCAAATTACTATTAGCTTTACATAATGCCATTTGTTACACTAAAGATACAAGTCATAGTGACAGTGTAATATCAATTTTTGAAATATCATCAATTTTTGAACAGCAGTTTCTATTTTAAAATTTTTATTTAAAATCAAATTATTTTTATGTTTCTAAAATATATTTTTATTTTCAGTGTCTGGGTCAGAACAGCTGGTGGGGTGCTCGTTTATTGATTTCCCTTGTAGAATTCCAGTCGCGTAACATCTTAAAACTATGTGCTTTGTGTGAAATTCTCATCATGCCTCTAACAGTTTCCCTAATTTTCTCGTAAGTATATTCATTTAGCAAATACTAAGGGGTATATTGTGAACTTTTTTTATTTTTATTTTTATTTTCTTGCAGGGGCAGAGCTGGTCTTTTCACTCCCATTGTTTACTATCAATTCCTTCAGTTACGCTTATCTTCAAGAAGAAATCCATTTACTCGCAATGTTTTTATTGAACTAACCAATATATTTGATTCTGTTGCTATGAAGCCAAGTGTACCTGAATTCTTGAGAAGAATCGTTAGAAGCATTGTAGACGTTATGCGCAGAATAACTCCAGTTCATCAACAGTAATTAAGTGATCTGAAAAATTATTATTTTCAGATACTGTGAATTATAAAGCTACTTGATATAGAAAGAACTTTATACAAAATTGGTGACTGAAACTATTATCTAAAAACAACTAAAAAAATAGTAAACTGTGACAACACTGATTCTAAACATTTTTTCAGAAAAATCTTGTATGTTTTCAAAAAGTTGTTTGATATTTACGTTTCATATCTAATTTAAGCAGCATTAAATTCAGAGTAATTTAATTTAAATATAATAATTGTTTTGAATCTTCTGAATAATATTACAAAATTTATTGTGCGAATCTTGCTAGGGGTCTATTGACAAGGTGTGATCTATACATTAAGAGCAAACTGCAGTATGAATTTTCTATTTAGATAAAACAATCACTAGTGGTCGAACATTGTTAAAACAGTTATGAGTGTGATTTTTATAAATTTCAGTTTGAATAGTCAAAATTATTTCAAGTTGAAAATTTTCTTGATAAATAGTTAAAAATTGAATTTGAATTTATTTACATTCCCTTTAACCACCTAACTTGAATTCAAAATATATAAAGTGAATTTTATGAGCCTAATAATATGTAATAATAATAAATTTAGTTGATTAACTCTAAGATATAAATTTTGCTACTTTTGAAACAGTGCTATTTTTAAAGTTTATAAAGAGATTTATAAAAAAAAGTTCAAAAGTTTTTAAAAACTTTAACCACCATAACCATGAATGATGTGAGAATCTTCAATGTTTAAGTGCATTTAATTGTTACGTGTAGTTTATAAATTAATAGTATTACTTGAAATCATTTTTTAATTTCTTTGCACTCTTACTTCTAGTATAGTTCAGTCCAGGAACATAAATCTAATTGATGTGTAATACTAGTTAATAAGGGTTTATAATTTCTATAAATGGTGAACTTTGTGTAAGTATTTGCACCACTGAACAATACCTTTGTATCTCAATGTAAGTATATCATTAAGAAAATTATTGTTTTTGCGGTCTTTGGTTGTTTTTAATTGAAATAAAAATTGTTGCTCAATTTTACCGAACATTATTTAATTCTCATAATATAGAAATTGCTTATAACTGGTGAAATTCCGTTTTTACGTTTAAATTAACGAGAAAAATTTCTTCGAGAATCTTTGGCACGCCTTAATCAAAATGTATCATATCTATTAAGGGAACACTAAATCACTAAAATCAGTAGCTAAGTTTATTCCCTTATAGTCAGATACTTTGCACGAATCGTCAGCGCACGCTGCACCGGTTGCACGAGAAAAATTGGAGGCACGGGTCCCTGAAATCTTATCATGTGTTATCACGTGTCAACCATAAAAACATAGCACTTTCCACGATTAGCGAAAAAAGAAAAGCTTGCTACTGAATATTAACTGTGGTTATAAATCAAGTAAGTAATAAAAATTCAATTATAAGTGGTTGGAGAAATTTTTATTCCATTTAGACAATGTTTGAATACTTTGCACAAAAAATGTTCGATATTGAATAGATAAACATGCTGCCTACACCGTCTATTTTTATCGTGACATAAGACATAAATAAGGGAAAAGTCAATTAACCGTCATGACTATAGTTCATCAGACCCATCTTTTTCAAAATCGCTTCAAATTATTCGGTGTTTACAAATGTCATTGCACCGTGAACCTAATTGTTTGTATACAATCGAAGTGTCATTTACTTATCTTAAATCTTATTAGCAGAAATCGAATTAAAATTCTTCAATTAAATTGATTTAAACTGATTTAAATAAAAAGATTATTTTCTTGCTCTTTAAATGATTACTTCATGTTCAGCATGATCATATTTTTATTTTCCTATGTAAAAAAGCCGTAGCAGATTATAAAGTATAAGGCTTCATTTGTGCAGACGTTCTCTGCATGCTATTGTTATACCAGGGCACGTAATCTGAGTCGTTCGTAAGCGTTCCTTAGTTTATATGTGACTTGCCGGTAGTTTTTCTGTAGTTACGATATTCAATTAATATTAATTCACATTCAGAAGCGCAAACTTTCTTAATAAAACCATATACATGTATGAAGGATTTCATACTGTTGTGATGGAAAATAACATACAATTTGTTCTATAATAGAGATGTCTATTTTAGAGAAAATTTCATACAACATAAACACGCACGTTTATACCATATACCCATAGTCTTTGCCGAAGTGTCGCATAGTATTATATATGGTAATTGGAACTGCAGAGTCAGCAAATGAACGTAATCACTGGACTGCAGCCACAATTTTAATCAGAACAGACTGTGAACATTGTAGAAAAACTAGACTTCACGACGGTGTTACCTTACTTGCTGTAATGTAATGTGCCTGCAACCTATGTGTTGTAATTTTTAAGACCGTCTCGAAGATCTGATCGGCAATGGACGGTGCAATCGGTTGATTCGACAAGTAGAAACAATGGAGTGGAAAACAATTGCTTTGACTACGTTGATTGTGAGTTTGTGCTTTTTGGCCATACCAATCAAAGTTGGACCCGCAGATAATGGCACCAATAGTACTGAACAAACAAAATTATTCGAAGAATATGTTGATCAATACCAGAAGCCATATCGACATAATCCCGACGAATATCAAAAGAGATTTTCACGGTTTCAGGTACTTGAAATGAAAAAAATTGTGTTTATTTGGATTTTGATTTAAACATTTTGATTATAATTATTAATTGTTTCACTCAGCAGTGTTTAAGAAATTAATTATTATTTTTTCATTCAGGAGTCATTGAAAACAATTGAGACTCTAAATAAACAAAGAAAATCAAACAGTGATGCTCGTTATGGAGTGACTAAATTTTCTGATATGAGTGAAGAAGAATTTCTACAATTACATTTACGTCCAGATCTGCCGACTAGAAGTGAAAAACACCATCAAAGTGTTAATCATCATGATCATGCTCTGGATCGATCAAAGAGAGCCCCAGTGGTAATTCCTGATAAATTTGATTGGAGAGATCAAAAAGTTGTTACATCTGTAAAGACTCAAGGTGTTTGTGGAGCTTGTTGGGCATTTAGTACTATAGGGGTTATTGAAACATTGTTTGCATTGAAAAATGGAACACTGCAATCATTGAGTGTTCAAGAGGTAATTAATTCAAATATTCATTTATGAAAGAAAATTTAAATCAAAATTTCTACTTTCCAGATGATTGATTGTGCAAAAAATGATAATAATGGTTGCGAGGGAGGAGATATATGCAGCTTACTCAGTTGGTTGGTTGCTACTAAAACAAAAATTGTCCCAGAATCAAATTATCCATTTATACGTAAAACAGATACTTGTAAACTACAGAAGTTAGTATAAATGTAAATTGATTGAAAGTTATTTTTAAATGTTGTAATAATGATTTAATTTTTAGAGCCTCCATGAAGACTCAAACTGGGATTAGAGTCTCAGACTACACTTGTGATAGGTAATTAAAAATACTTTTTATAATTAAAAAAAAATGTTGTGTTAGAAATTATTTTATACATCAAAAATATTCAGAGTTCTTCTTCATTGGAACTTTATGGATATATATAACATGCATTATATAATGCTGTTTTACTTGATGATTATTAAACCATACTTGATAGCCTTGAGAGTAGAAGGCTTTTAAAGTCACATTCACAAGAGTGAGGTTTTGATATTATATTGTCATAATTTCTGTTTCAAATTTAATTTATTATAGTTTTATTTTCTACCATTTAAATTTGAAAATGTTATGTAAACATCCATAAAAAAATATGTTGAATTAAAATTTTTATGTTTCAGCTATGTAAAAGCTGAGGATAAGCTGTTATCAACAATAGTAAATAAAGGTCCTGTAGCTACAGCTGTTAATGCTCTATCCTGGCAGAATTACTTAGGAGGAGTAATACAATATCATTGCGATGGTGCCTATACTAGTCTTAACCACGCAGTGGAAATTGTTGGATATGATAAAACTGGTCCAATACCATTTTACATTGTAAAAAATTCATGGGGTCCTTCATTTGGAGATAAAGGATATTTGTACATTGCGATAGGAAGCAATGTTTGTGGTACGTATTTATAACTTTTCTTGAATATTTGAAAACATGAATGTAATTGTAACTATATTTTCTTACAGGAATTGCTCATCAAGCATCAACGATTAACATAGTGCCTTAATAAAATGTTCATAACATTTGAAAAGAAAATGAAGATTCTTTAAAAATTAAAGAAATTAAAAATATATATTAATATTTACAGTAATATATGATACTTTGTGGCGAAAAATTTATCAATGTTAAATTTAAATAGAGATTTAAGGAACAAAAATTTTACAAACAACTGATTTTTATACCAATTATGTATTAATATATAAGTGTTATAGTTTTGTATAAATAAATGGTTCAAGTACCATTTTTGTTTTGGGTAACCATGAAAGCCATTACGGACAATTTGAAATATAGCTAGAATAAGTTTTGATATCATGTATCAAATAATGTGTTTTTTAAAAATTGTACCCAAGTGCCAACAAATTTATTTACAATAATAACATTTTTATTTGTATATTTATAAAAGTATTGTTATGCAATTGTATTACAATGATATTTATATTCGTTTACAAATGTAACCAAAAATGTTCTAAATAATAATAAAAAATTTGAGATTAAACTACTTAAATTAGTTCTTTCCTTTAACAATTATGTAGGGACCTCAAAATAATTTAAATTAAGAGGAATCGTCGTTTTTAATTCCATTATCTTTATTTTGTTGGCAAGTGCATTTTTTGTCTTTGCCGTTGATAATGGAATCCTCAAAAGCCGAAGTCATCTCATCAAAACCCCAACAGCCCCAAGCTACAGACAATTTTGTTTTCATACTTTTGGTAAGTGGCGGAATTAAATGTCGAGGTATTAAAAAAGTCGAGAGATTGAAGAGGTCCACAAATACTTTGTACCGATCGCTAAAAGTAAACAAAATTTGGCATTGTTTATAAAATTTGAAGCTTATAATATAGATATTTTGGCAAAAAATAAATGCATTACCTAAGAGTTGTTTTTAAATATTGATATCCGGAGGAACCACCAGTGCCAAGTTGCTGAGAGCCTATCATTCTCTGAACCATGAGAACATGATTGTCTGTTTGGAAAAAGTAAAAGCTGACTTGTAAAGTTATCGTCGATTAATGTTTTTGGATAAAAAATGGACTTTGCGTACATCTCCATTTGGTGATGAGCGAGTCGATATCCATAAGAGCCGTGAGAATCTGATGGGGCTGGCTGAAGCGCGGCTCGTCCCTGTAGAGCGTGATCATGACGGCCCCCTGAAGGGCCGCGTGGCTGAAGCGACGCTCGCCTCGCGACACCAGTGCCGAGTGCAGCGATTCGTTGAAGATGGAGTCGAAGACGGCCTGGCGGCCGGCGACGTTGCTCAGCAGGTGCTTGCGCGACTCCTCGCTCGGCTGCTGCTTGGCGTGCTTGCGCTGCTCGTCGAGCATCGACTCGACGGCTCGCCGGTACTTGCCCCAGAAGTCGAAGTCGTCGGCGGCCAGGCCCGGCGTCCGGGCCAGCCACTTCTGCACGAGGATCGAGAGGCTGGGCTCCTCCTCGCTGCGCCTTATCGCCTCGACGGCCTGCTCGTCCCGGCCGAAGACCCGCTGGTAGCTCTGATTGTACTTGACGCGGTGCTCCTGCTGGACGCCGAGCTTGTTCTCCAGCAGCCGGAACTGCAGCGATTGGAAGCCCGAGGCCGGGCACAGGTAGTCCCTGAAGGCCATGAAATCCAGTGGAGTCATCGTCTCGAGGATCGAGACTTGATCGACCAGCAACTGATGAAATTATAGTATTCGTTTAACGATTTTCGGCCGATCGCGCGATGGATCGATTTAAATGTACTTCCTGAGTTTTTATGCTATATATTTAACGAAAGAAGTTGCAGCTGCGCGCGAGCTAGTCTATCGATTATGCGTTCTTACTGGGTATAATGCATGTATTTTCCGATATAGCCCGTACTCGGGTACTGTTATGGCTTCTTCTAGCTGCAGATTTGTTCGTTAAATCAAGCGTAGAGTTCATGGCGGTAATCGGTCAGTAACTTTTTCTTCTTCTAAATCCACAGCCGATAAAAGTTAGTTTCGGAAAAGCAATTTCGCATAATAGCTGCGATAAAAATTCATCGAGACGATCAATAATGCAACTCGTGCGAAAGCTCGAGAGCCGCAACTTTTGGGAAAAATCATTCGTCTTCCAGCGCTCACAATAACGGCCACGTAAGGGGTAAAACGATCTCAACGCGCAAACTTATTACAATGACGTTATTCAATAGAGGCCGCGGCGCAATTACGTAAAAATAAATAAATACGCGTGTGTACGCGGGCAAAGTGTAAGGTAGGAGCAATACGCGCTTGATACCGCGCCCGAGCCCAAGTCCGAGCGGGTAGCTGCATAAGTGTGTGCGAGGCAGCCGAGAGCAGCAGCAGCAGCGAGTCGATGGGTTTCACGTGTCAGCCGCTCGGCCGCTCGTACTAGCTCGCGCGTCTATATCCCGCAAGGAGTATCGGCTTACCCCCGCACATTTACACGCTCGTACGTATACATCTGCAGCGAGGCAAAAGTCGAGCTGTATCGTAGCTATATACCTTCTGCCAAGTACGCACGAGTCTCAGCTTTTCCCGCAACAAATACGCGTTACAAGTGCAGCCTTTTCTGCTGCACCGATCCCGTAAATACGATACATATGCCGTTACTCTTGATTTCGCCGGCTCTCGTGTACGCGTATCGCGCGCGTCTATTGTGCAATTATTATCATTTTTGCGACCGTAAAAAGTCCTCGTTCGATTTGCTTATGAGGCCGATCGTCTGAAATGCCTTATCTAGCGGTCCAAGACTCGCGACGGAATTTCGCACGTTCTTCGAGTTTTAACGTTCGATGGCTCGATTCAGCACTCACTTTCAATATCAATACGATGCGATTGAGCCTCTTGAGGATTTCCAAGCTCCTCGACTCGTCGATGGCCTCGGAGTCGTGGGGGTGCTTTCCATTGGGCTCGCGCTCGTAAGCGTAGCGATGCTGATGCTCTCCTTCGTGGCACTGCTCCTCGTTGCTGAACAGAGACCTCACCGAGTCGAGCTCGTAAATTATCTGCTTGAACCAGAGCTCGTAAGCTGCGATCGTTGGAATTTCAAAGGGCAGACGATTACATCTCGCTTCGGCTACGTATATTTTACATACAACATAATTCGACTTTTATACCTTGATGCGTCACGATGAAGAGATGCTCATCGTGGACTTTTTTGTTGTACTCGCTGCTGAGCAGCCTCTGAGCCGACAGGATTTTGTCGAGCAGAAGGTACTCGCTGTACAGCAAGCCGGGACCCTCCACCAAACACGTGCCGGCCTCGCCGCTCGACGTTTGACCGCCGCTGTTATCTCTGCCAGAGAAATAAAATCATTGCGCTATTTTTCTTTTCCCTTTCAATTACACAATAATGTTTTCGTTCGTATTGTACACTACGATTGTCGCGTGTAAACATTTTATTCTGACAGCATTTTTAATTATAAATTATGATCTAGCTCGTAATCTTCCAATTGGTATATTTATAAATAATAGCAGCGATTGGAGCCGCCCCAGAGCGAATCTCGAGCGCATGTTATGCGGATTACGACACGCTCATTATTTTTCGCAAAGTTGCGCAAAGTTTAGCTCTCGCGATGATTTGTGTATATTAATTTATTGACGCAACGACGGAGCCGATCGTCTCGTTTTATCGCTCGATGCGACTATCGGTTCCAACGCCAATTGACATTATTATCCTAGAGCAATGTCAAGTTCGAAAGCCAAATAATCATCGTTCGTTCGCAATTAAATATCCGACACTCGAAAATGACAATTTAAATGTTTTGCACAATTATTTATCTATCCACATCGAGGTGTGAATGAGTGTATACTAAGTAATTTTTTAAGGTAAAACTTACGTTCCATTCCCAAGCGGACAAGCCATATTCAAGCGATTTTGTGCAAATTGAAATGTCTTTAATAATATTTTTGGGTATTATTTACAAATCTATCAACTTGTCGTATCAAGGCACTCGGCCAAAAACTTGTTATGATTTAGAGTCTAGGCGACGAACGCGTTATATTTTTTGCTTGTTTTTTGTCACTTGAGAAAATATAATTATTCGCACATAGCGTGCTTCGCTCGTCGCGTGTCGTTGTCACGGGCTGCTCTGCGTGCAGAAAATATATACTGCGCTCAACGACCGCGTCGCGTTCGACGGCTGACTGGAGCTTCCAATCCCACACGCCACCCTTTATACGCCTTGTATGCACCATTGATGTACGACGTCTCGGACTAACTAATATAGTGTCGCTTGTTCTGTCGTCGTAGTTGTCGTCGTCTTCGACAAGTCGGTAAGAAAACATCGGTGGATAATAATTGCATCATCGCGGATCATCGCTATACATACATTGAATGATTTGAGAGAACTTTTTTCGCCTTATTATCAAATTGAATTCTAAAATGAAGTATTGGATCGTTCGAAAAATTATTTTGGCAGTGTTTTTAGATTTTGTTCAAGAATCACCGTGCAAAAAGTTTGAAAGTACTTGAAACTTTAGGGAAATCTAAACTCATTAAAGACCACTGTTTTTGAAAATCACTACTAAAAATGTATAATTAAAAATTAACATATTTTGATTTATCGAGAACTTAATTTTCATTGTTTCTCCTAAAAATTTAGCTTATTAACGGAGAGACAGTACTAACAGAACACGATTCTCAATTGCAAAAACGCAATACTTTTATAAAACCAACACGCTAATTTATGCAATAATAATTTCATCAATAAACAAAAAAATGAATTCCATTTACAATTCATGCTTATCTATAGTCACTTTGGGTAACAATAAGCTCTACTTTATCAACTTTTTACTATCCTTTCGTAGACATTTTTCAATGATGTTAAATTTAAAGGCATTTACTAACATTAATTAAAAGATTTTTCAAATATGACTTTTGGGTAAACATCATAATTATATCGCACAAAACATTGCCGGTCCTTCAACGAAATTTGACTTCAGGATTAGAGATTTTATTTTTTCTACGATGTGAACTTTGACTGTGCTAAGCTAATTTTCTAAGATCCTTTTTTGAAAATTCTGTTTGCACTATAAAACTAATATTGAACGCTGTTTGAATGACCATTGTAATAAATACTCGAAATTCAAGCAAATGAATATACAATTTCTTTACTAATATTCTGTCATTTGTTAGTGATCAGAATATCTTTTGTAATGAATTTTTGTTTGATTATTTTTAACACAATATTATTCTATTCGTAACAATTAACATTTCTGCTTAATATACTAATTTTAAATGTAATAGCTTGTTTATATTTTCAACTGTTTCAACCATGGCCCAAAGTTTTAATGAAAGTTTTATCAATGAAATAGTGAATTTTCATAACTATTGTGTTTTTATGAGAACATAAAAAAATCGTGTTACTAACGTTTCTTCAGTTGAAATTTAAAAGGCAAGTCGAGCCACAATGCACATATTCTTGAATTGTATCATAATTTGTATGATTTAAATGATATTTTTTTTGTAAAATCAAAATAAAAAACTTCCTACTAATAAGTTTTGATTTTATTGCAGCTGTACTATATAATCATGCAAACAATTCACCGTTAACTGGTCACGGATTGAAAGTAATAGAAAACAATGATTTACCGTATGTAGTATTGGTAGCACATCGCCGTCACGGCAAAATATGTACAGGAACTTTAGTCACTAAATATCACATTGTGACAGCGGCTCATTGTATTCGATACGAAAATCCTACTGATTTAGAGGCTATTGTCAGGATACCCCCTTATGTCGAGAGCCATAAGTATCCAGTCAGTTCATCGATTACTTATGACCAATGGACCAAATTTAATAATGTAAATCCACGATTTCCTAGTAATGACATTGCTGTACTATCGGTAAGATCAAAGCATAGTTAGAAGGAACATTTACAGTGTGATTTTCTCTATTAAAAAACAATGAAATATTGAGTATAATTTTTAAAATTATCGGAATGACTTCAAAAATTTGTATATACATCACATTAGAATCTTTTTTTTTACACGAAAAAAGATAAGCTTACTTTTTAGTGATCAGCTATTTTCCATAGCTTGAAAAGCCGGTCGAAGATATACAGATAGGATCGATTTCTTTCGACCAACCAATTGCAAAAGCTCAAGTCACAACCGTTGGGTGGAGAAGTTGCAAAAAAAATTGTCTCTTCCCTCAAACATTTGTCACGGTAAACCAGTTTGTTGAGGATCCGGAATTATGTCGCAAAAGACTTGCAAAACAAAATCTAAATGTCATTGGCAAGATCAACGCAATATGTACGAAAATCGATGGGTCTACATCTGCTGCTCTTGAATGCGTAAGCATAAATCTTGAATGAAAGTTATAAAAACGATTATCTCCATGTACACATATTTTTTTCGACAGGGAGACAGTGGAGGTCCTTTATTAGATAAACAATACATGATCGTTGGCATCGCCAGATCACGTTGTTTCAGCAAAAATAAAAACGACTTTGAAACGTTTAATGTTTATACAGCCATCAGCGTTTATAAACAATTTCTTTTCGAAAGTATAAAAAACTAACTCTTTTTCAGTGAAAACAATGAAATCTAAAACTATAAAGCAAAATTTATCATCACCTTCTTTTGCCTTCATTGTAACGTTTTTTTGTCGTCATCATGCCTCGTGAAAATAAAAATATAATATACTTATGGCACGTGTATACATTTTTACGTTCTCTTTTTTAACATTTCTTAAAAATTAATTGATTGATATATTTATACTCCAAAATTTATTAAAATTAATTTGATTAAATAATTACCACTTCGGTGAAATGCTTGTCAACACAATACTTTTTCTGTTATACTCATTTTGTAAGTAATAATCCAATTATTTAAGAAATCATTGTAAATATTAATTAACCGATTATAATTATGCATACAAATTATAGTAATGCTGATTACTCATTCGCTGGCTGATCCTCTAATTGGTTAAGAAGACTTAGACCAAAAATACCTATGAATACTCATTCATAGTATCTGTCATTTAAAAGCACATAGCAGATTTCCACATCTGTACTGGAGTTTTGATAACGAAGAGTCACGTATTGACTTCAGCTCATTGTTTAGACGAAGTTAACATTCCTGATGTAAGTGTCAAAATCGGTGATCCAAGTCCAAGAAATATTAATAACTACTCGGTTCAATGGTGGAAAACATTTGATTAATGGACTGAAGAAAGCATTGTAGCCTTGGAATTTGATGATAATGACACAGCCATTATCATGGTGCGTAAGCCAAAAAAAAATATCGCCTTTTTTAACCGATTGTCGTTATTTTAATATTTATAATATAACTTTATTCCAGTTGTGGGGAGAAGTCATGGGAGACATAAGTCCTGGTAAATTATCATTCTCAACGGTCAAGTCGCTCAATCAGGTCAAAGTTTTAGGATGGAAATACTGGAATCGGAATTCTCCAAAACCTTTTCGGTTGCGAGTTGCATTTTTGAAAGTAGTAGATCTTGCTAAGTGTCGGACTCAATATGAAGCTTTGAGCAATCGACTTTTTCAAAGAGAGGATAATATTATTTGCACCAAAGCCAATCCACTTGCAGTGATAGAGTGGGTAAAAGTAAAATATTTATCCATTTTCTATATTTAATGTTTCATTAATTAATTGACTTTAATTGACTTTAATTGATTTCTTTATTTTACTTTTTACGTATAGGAAGATAGTGGTGAACCTCTGTTGAATGAAGATAATAAAATTATTGGCATTAACACTTCGTTATGTGTTGGTGCGTCAAAACATAAACTTTTGGATACAATTAATTTTCACATTAATCTGCGATATTATAAAAATTTTATTTACAGTGTAGTACAAAATTGAAATCAATCTCAATACACATGATGACCTAGTTAAGTTTTAACATATAACAATGTATAAAATCTTTAGACTATTTATATTATTGTTTAATTTTTATATCTAAAATGCAAAGTAACGTACATTCATTATTTCTGAAAAGAATAAACAAACATTAAGTTTGTTTTAAGAAATTTGAGTGTAATTATTAGTTTTGGTGTCAAAACGCAATGCAATTTTTTAAACTACTCAATACTGTAAGGATTTTCTAATAAATAAATAATCAAAATTTAAACAATGTTTCAGTAGCGTTATGTAATAATTGAAGTGTTACTGCAATTAAGAACTTGGTAAACTTGAATGAGTATTGCTCGCTATTATTTAGAGCGTCTTCTTGAAGGTACTTCAGATTTTCTCATACACCTGTAATGATAAGGTTCAATCTTACCATGTTTATTTTCCATGTGCCTGAGAACAAAAAATTGTTTTTGGAACGATTTAGGGCACATTACACATTGGTAGATTAATACTAATTCATGTACATCATAAACATGGTTTTTGAAATCTGTTTCTCTACTGAATGTTTCCCTGCATAAGTCACACTTGTGGGTTATTTGACCATGTGAGTCCTTGATGTGCTTATTAAGAACACCTTTTTGCGTGAAATTTTTTTGACATAATTCACATTCATATTTTCTAATTTGAAAGTGTCGTGTATCCTGGTGTTTTCTGAGACTGCAATTTGTGGTAAACTGTTTAGAGCATATATCGCACTTGTGGATCTTTCTATTTATGTGTACAAAATTAACATGTTTGGTCAGAGCAGCTTCCTTCTCAAATTTTTTTTTACATATTTCACATTCAAAGGGTCTCTCAATAGTATGCATCAATCTAAAGTGCTTTTTGAGCGAATTTTTAAATGCAAAAGCCTTTTTGCACCAATCACACTGAAAAGGTCTTTCAGTAATATGGACTGTAACTATGTGTTTATTGAGATACCTTTTATAATCAAATATTTTTGGGCATAAGTTACATTTGTAAGGTTCGTCTGGTTTATCTTTCAATGATTTCTTTCTTCTAGATGATGTTTTTTGTTTGATTTCACCAAGTTCATCTTCATAAAAATTGTTCTCAACAAAGATTTCTTCAAAATTTATAAGATTTTTTTCATTGGCCTTCGATGTTTTTGAATTTTCATCAGCTGTCTCATTTTCTAAACATATTTGAGTTCCAATATCTAACAATGGCATTAATGGATCTATTACAGGCTTAGATTCAGGTTCTATAGTGATTTCGTCTTCAATAGTACAATGTTCTGTTTGTATAATGGGCTTAGATTCAGGTTCTATAGTGATTTCTTCATCAACAATACACTGTTCTATATCAATGTCTTTATACATAGTTTGAAGCTATAACAAAATCGACATTATTAAATGAATATTGAAAAAAATATTAAATAAAAGCTTATCTTACATTATTTTCAAGTGAAAACAAATCTTTTTTTAATTCTGGGCATTCAGCTACATCAGATGAAAATTCTGTATCATGACCATTTTCTTCATTCACCCAGTCATTATTTGATTCAACTTTCACACTAAAAAAATATTTAAAAAAATTATTCATTCGTAAATAAATAGCAGAATTACCCATTTCAATAAACTCTTGAATACTTACTCATCTATGTTTAAGTGAAGTTCCATTATTTTGTATCTAATACTAGAATATCTTTAATTTTGGAACAAGCAAAAAAGATCAACTGGACTTGACGTTAACGTAAGTATTATCTATAATTGAAACATTTAAAACCAATGCAAACAGATATATAGCAGTATAGCAGGTACTTGTATTTTTTCTCAATATTCATTAGCAATACATAAGGCTCATATTCAAAAGTATTACCGAGAAAAAAATGAATATAAATATAGGTATAGATTCTAATATTGATAAATTATGGTTAAACTTGTCTGCTCGAGCAGCGCGGAAATGAAAATGAGTAGCAATAGTGTACTACACATATAGGTTACGCTATTAAAACAGTCTCATATTCAAACTTACTCGAGTGTATATTTCTGCTGCAAAACTGCACTTCGTGTCATGCATTTAATTTCCTTGTTATTTATACTTTAAGAGATTTTATATTTCACTAAAAGATATATTTTTTTTTATAAAACTCAAAAAATACTCTTGTCTAAAGACAATGATAAATTTAAAAACTTCCCGCTCGTTCTGCAACTAGCTTCAAGACCTATGACAAAGTTCTAAGAGGTGCCTAATTTAAAACTACTCTACCATGCAATCAAACTTTTGATTCGATCTAGTCGAATTTTACAGTCGCATAGTCCAAGTTTCATTCGGTGTACATAAATTTTCATTAACTAACAATAACTAACAATATACAAATCAATACACTTTGACAAAAAAAAATTTTAAATATTAAAAAAGTCGACGATTTTTAAACTTTGGGTACATTTTGATTATGCAAACACATAAAAAAACTTTAGGTTCAATAGTGATGTAAGTTTCATAAGTTTAATGTAAGTATGTAAAGGTTTACTTAAAAATTCAACCCTTTACCATAATTTCTAACTTATACTTTTCGTTATTACCTGATCAAATTAGATATGCTAGACTTTTACTCTAGTATAATCATCGTCTTTGTTATAAAATCGATAGTGGTAGTTAACTTGGTATATTCTGTTAGAAACCCGATTATAGGTTTTCAAACTGTTCTAATGCAAATCTGTTTTGCCAACAATACTTTTTAGTCGATTATAATTCGAAAACTTTATCGAACGATTCTTGCATTTAAATAATTTGAATATGATGGAACATGTAGTGAGACGTTATGAGAAATACAAAGATGGTATTTTATTCATGCTTATTGTATCTGGTTTATGGCCAAATTATGATGAACACCCGGAAAAATTAAAGATTATCTTGAGCATCTGTTCTGCTGTTACAACTGGCGGGGCTACTCTGGGTATGGTTTACTTTTGCATTAGCAATTTTACGAATGTTAATGTTCTCACAAGAGGTTTAGGGCTGATGATCAGTTACTTTTCAACTTTTTTAAAAGTTGGTTGCTTTATGAATTTTAATAAATCAATCATTATTTATTATATTTAATCAGTACATATACTTCGAAAATTCAGGTCATCGTTCTAGTCTATCATAAAAAAAATATTTTAAAGCTCAGCAAAGGAGCATCGGCACAGTTTGAGGAAGATTTAAAAACCCCAGCTAATCGTCCGTTTTTGTTAGCCTATTTTCCAACTTTTTCAAAATTTTATTACTGCTTTAGATATTCGGTAGCACTTAATATTTTCATGATGGTTTTAAAACCACTGCTGGCATTACGTCAGGGAAAATATATAAGAACGTATCCTGTGAAAATACCTTTCGAGTATGAATCAGGTAAAGAATTACATGATAATTACTACCGAGTCAAACTTTCAATCATCACGAATTTTCATCTTTTGATAGGAGGCTTAGTTCATTGGATTATTTACGCCTTAGAAGTGGCTGCTGGATACTATTGCTGGAGCGTCACAGTTGGCGTCGATACCTTTTTTGGATTTTTCACACTTCACCTGGTCGGTGAGTTGCAGTTGCTCTCATCCCGATTCGCTGACATGAAACCTGACAAAAACCATCGAAAAATCATTAAAGAACTCGTCGACAGGCATAATTTATTGATCGAAGCTCAACGTACGGTCCAAAAAATATTTGGTTTGTTATCGGTTTGGTTGGCCATCACCTGTGCGTTCATAATATGCGCGATAATTTTTCAAGCAACAGAGGTATGTTTTAATATATCTTAGCATAATAAAAAAATTAATTTCATATTAATAATGTTTAACTTTTATCAATCATACTTAATAAGACCAAAAATATGACTGCCTACAAAGCTGTTTATTTGTTGTGCTATGCTTTTCTAAAACTAGTACAAGCCTATAGTTATGCTTGGTATGGTCACATTATAACAGTAGAAGCAAGTATCACAATTTTTTCTGATGTTAAACATAAAATTACGTAAAGTTATTTTGAATTTTCGAAAGTAATAATGTATATCGCGTGGAATTCGAATGATTTAGAGCGAGAGATGTCTGAATGAAATGTACAACTCAACGTGGCCGGGATTGGGAGATGTAAGACTAATGAAAGATATACTTTTCATGCAATCGCAGAAACCACTCATTTTTAAAGCTAAATCTTGCATGATTGTCCAACTCGATATGTTTACAAAGGTCATTAAATCTACAATGAATTTTCAAATAAAAAAATGATGCTGTACGTTTGATAAATTTTTGTTATATTTTTATTTCAGATAATACACACGTCAGCTTCATATTTCTTTCTATTACAAACTTTAGATGAAGGTCAAATAGAAAATTTTAAGTAAATGTGAAACTACCACAAAAGTTGAATTTGATTTTTTCTGGAACAACATTATTAAAACTGACGATTATCCAAATTTTAAGCAAATTTATCATTATTATTTATACGATAAATTTTAAAGAATTCAACTATTCCTCACTAAAATGAATTTTATTTATGGAAAATCAAAATTTTTTTAATAATAATTTTTTTAATAAATCAATATATATTCATCTACTTACAACAGAACTCATTAGCTAATTAGAGTAATTTTTATTTTAAGGTCTGATCATTAAAGTTAATTTTAATTTCATTTTTATGTGCATTAATTTCTAATTTTCAATTAATTTCTGGACAATCGATTATACTTAATTCATTGTGGCTTATGGAAAATAATTTTCAATGATATAGTATAATACTTTTAATAATTAAATGGATTATTAATTTTATATTTGATGCAAATATTTGAAATTTTTATATAATTTTGATGCACGAGAGCAACATTTTATGTGCACCTATGAAGTACATATTTTTCTATTCAAGTAGCGAAAATTAGTCTTTTTTTAATTTAAAAATATTTGATCCACATTTTTATTCAATGGAATACAGGCGTATTAGAAAAAAAAGAAAAACCCGCGGTTCTTCTAATGAGTTTTCATTCATTTTTCGAGTTAATATCGTCGCCACGTGCGTGCTCTCTTTCATTAAGACTGGGTCAATTAAACGACAGACTAGAAGTCCCGTTTGAAGTTTTGGTGATCAAGTGAACTATTAAGAAATTAAAATTATTATTAAGGAAGTAATGGCGACCCGAAAGTACCACAAATCAAGAGTCAACGATTGGTTTCTCAAAAATCAATTCAGTGATGTAAAAATTCAAACTGCATGTGGAAATTTTGTGTTAGCCCATAAGAATCGTCTCGCCAGTGCCAGTCCAGTTTTTGAAGAAATGTTTGTTCACGCATCAGAGGAAAGCAGTGTGGAACTGGACAACGTGAAATACAGCGAATTCGTCGAAATACTGCGTTACATCTACACGGGTAAAATTATCGAGTACAATGATTCAAATTTCATGAGTAAAGTTTTGATAGCGGCTAATGAATTGATGATATTTGGACTAAAAGCGGATATGGAAAGAATCTTAGCAAACAACATTAATATTGATAATGTTATTAAATTGTTCACATTGGCAGACCGGCATACTGCTCTTTATTTGAAAATGGAAACCCTAAAATTTATCGAACGCAATATTACGGACGTTGTTACTACACATGATATGAAAGCGCTACCTGCGGATTTGACATGTCAAATATTGCCAGCTGTATTGGCAGTGGGAACTGATTCTCAATATAAGTAAAACGCAAATAGTATTATTTATGTGGTATGGTGCTATTGAACCTAAAAAGTTTGATTAATTAATGACTTGATAAAAGAGCCCGCAAAAGAACTAAGTTGAAAGAAAGACGGATACCGAATAGCATTGTTTTCGCGTCAAAATCGAGCGCGAGATCGAGTGAAGTAATAATTTGCTTCATTTAGTTGACCCACGTGACACTCTTCTTGCGAATACGCAGCGTGTTGCTAGAATCAAGTTGAAGCAAGTTTGGAATATCTTAATTGATTATCTAAAAGTTGAGACAAAAATAAATAAATGTCTTACATTCGTTCATTTGAGTAAGGGTGGTCAAATGTATTAATTGAAAGTGGTGCAACCTAACGTGCAAGAACATTACGTACTTCGTATCATAATTTAAAAAAATGCATGTTCTCCATGTAGAATAGATTTCCTTGTTCAAATTTGAATATTTCTTCATTTTCAGTTGTTTTTAATAGAAAATTATGTTTTATTTTTTTAATTTTGTATAAAATTTTTATTAGCTTATTGAATTAGATTAAAGAAAAGAAATCTAGAAATATTAAATAAATTTCAATTGAAAGTTGTCTTTGTGTTTCTAATTGAATAAACGTTATACGTAGTCAGAAGTTCTATTCCATATATGGTACTTGTAGTACTTAATGTTGTATTAGTTATAGATACAATAAAAAAGCTCTAGCCCTTGTATCTAATATATTTGAACACACATCTGTCAATAAATTATTTTATAACTATAATCAATTTTATAATAAAATTTAAAATAAAAAAGTTATTTTTTTTAAATAAAGTTACGTGTTGAACGTTATTTATTCAATCAATAATGGTTAAATTCATTGTGCAAAAGTATAAGAGAAATCCTCTAAAGTTTTATAGCCTGAAAGTAAGTTAAACAAGTAGAAAAGTGAAATTAACAGACGGGTAAACCAACGTTCTCTCGTCACTTTTGACATTTTTAACCTCAACTAAGTTCAAACTAATCGACTTACCCAGATAGAAAGGTTCAAAGGAGCTCTCTATGTGGAGTTTCAACGTCAAGAAATACCTAACTAAGACAGATTAGTCTCAATTATTTTATTCACTTATTTTATTAAGGGAGCATTCTGGTTTACAACTCTCTATAAATTGATTTATTTTTTATAATGGATTTCGAATGGTAATACCTTCTTCAACTATGTGTAAAAATTTCAAAAGGATTCGAGTAATATAAGTATATACTTATTAAGTTATTATCGGAGCGCCGTTTTGGTCAACGAATAATATATTTTGTAACAAGACTCATCCAGGAGTTGTTTTCACCCGAGCGTAGCGAGACTAGTTGCAAACGATATTTTTTAACTCTGTTTGCGAGAAACTAGGGTTTAAAAATACTTTTTTTTTACGAAATACTGTATTTTTGCTTTTTGTATGCTGGGTCGCAGAGTAGGATGCAGAAACTACATATTATTCTACTGTATTAGTTTAAATTTATTTGATTTTTTAATAAAAAAAACTTTGAACCCGCTTTTTCCAGATTAACGTTTTTGTGACTGGCCACCATGATTCAGAAAAAAGTACTGGACCGATCGTTCTGAAATTTTTTCAGCTTATTGTTGACATATGTGGTTATAGTTGGAAATTCTAACATTTGAAAAAATTCGCAACCAACTATTTGTTTAGAGTGAAAAATCGCAAAAAAATTTCTTTTTTTTCATTTTTTTTTCTATGGATGCCATTCTGTCATTTTGAAATGAAAATTTTTTTATAGGTTCCAACCATAGCCAGTACCTTCACGAACAAAACGGTTACTGTTTTTTTGTGGCACTTTTTTTTGCTCTTACGGAGATTCGGTGTATACCACCAATGATAGTTTTAAATATCATCTATCCTTCCTAATAAATTCGCAAAAATCGAATAATTTTGGGCAGTGTAAACCAGAATGCTTCTTTAAAGTGAATGAGAAAAATATTCAATAATTTAAAAGAAAAAATGAAAAATTAATAAAATGCAACACAGCTTGACTTCTTCGATCTCTCAACTCATGTTTTGAAGCAATAGCGGATAAAATAACACATTGAGTAAAAATAGATTTTCAATTTGAATTCATGTTGGACACTGCGCCAAGCACGAAATATTACATATTCATATGCGGATCGATGCGTTTAAATCTGAAAAAATACAATTATAGCAAAGTAGAGCAATGACACAATGAGGACACGATCTTCCGGGGCATAGGTCTCCTCACTATATGTTTCTTCAATGTAGGAGCTGCAATTTATGAGGTGTACATGAATGCACGAGAGGCACGATCGGTTCGCGCGCGCGAACACGACGACGACGACGATCACAAGTAAGATCGGCATGCATGTGCATGTATGTATATGGGAAAATCCGCCAACGCATTAATGTTATGTTAGGTAAACTGCTATTTAAGTAGTATATAAGAATCGGAAAAATCGATGAAAATAGAAAATTTCAGAAAATTGGATAGCACCATTAGATAGGTGAGAACAAAATACATCGAAAACATGTTGTTGTTAAATTTTTTAGCGAAGTTGGTACTGTTATTGGCTCAAAACGTGAAATTAGCGGCTACGGTGCGCCCGGTCGGTTGAGCGCCGACTTTAATCTCTCTTTTAGCTCGAAATTTTCAGTTGTTGCACACGCTGGAAAATGGTGTTTTCTACATAAGAAAACCTCATCTTGAGATATTCAACTTTGAAATGTATTTTTCAGTTTTTTCCGGGAAAATGGAAAAGTTCAGAAAATTTGACCTCAGCTTCAAAAAGCTGAGTAATTTCCCATTGAAAACCTACATCATATATTTTTTCTAAGGATTTTTAGTGGCTTTCCTGTCGAGTTCGAAATTGAGAGATTTTGCTTAAAAACGCCGCTCGGCCAGGTCGCTAGGACAATTCAGGAATTTTGCTCCATAAATGGTTCAAACACAACTTCTCTCAATGTTCTTCTAACTGTTCCAACATTTTAAAATTGTTAGCAAACATAAATTCGTAAAAAGCCATACAATCACAGCTTTTTTAATGATTTTTTTAAATTCAAACAATTAATTTTTTATACTCATGTTCATTTAGCCAAGATTACTGCCTTTTTAGGTATACGCATTATGATTGGGTAATATTCAAGAACTGAACTTGAAAATAAACCATAACAACTTTTTAAAGATAATACACAATTAATTTCCATTTTGAATTCAATAAATGACCGTAACATTAATTCGATAGACATAATTTTCTTCAGTTTCGATAATATCGATGATCAGTGATTTATGATGAATAAAAAAAAATGGCAGCAAGTGGAGGTAAAAAAAATCATTTTTAATGATTGAAATATTAATGAGTCGGCGGAATTACCCATATGCGTATACGAAACAGCCGTGCATTTAAGCGCGGTCTAGGCCAAAAGTCACGCGAAACAAATTTTCGATTCACGAACGACCACGCTGACGTGAACTTTTGCCATTACAAGCAGCCACGTGTTCATCGGAGTTGATTATATACTTATTGTCCTCTCTTAAAATAATGATGACCCTAAAAGTGAAGCCAATCTATTCGGCCTCTGATTGGTCGACTGACTTTTGACTCGAGTCGAAACGTAATAAAGTGACATCAACGGTCAAAATAGCAACTTTTTTGAAACTGACTGAAAGATGTAGGGGAGAACTCCCGTTTATGGCGCACTTAATACCATTAAAAAAATACTTGCGTGTAAACAAGAATGCGCGGATCATCATTGATGAATTTCATTAAATTGGCTTCTTTGCTGGAGTACAAAGGGGTTTAAAAAGAATGCCATTGTAAGTTTCAAAAGCCAATGTCACTTGCCTAACGAACACGACATGCTATAGATATTAAACGATTTTTGTACCAAATAATTTATTGTAAATATTGTAAGTTTTTCAAGTTTTACGGATCAAGGGCAATGAATTGCTATTCTCAGCTGTAAAATTATAAGTACGGAAATTTTCAATAAATTCAGGCATGAGTTTAGAAAACGAAATAATTAGTTTATTTGCTTAATTTTACAGAAATTGATTAATCCAGGAAGTACGTTCGATCAGAAATTATTACAACGTTGGACGAGATTCGAGAGGAAGAAAATTCTTGGAAGAAGAGTCAAGAAACAAGTAGGCAAGCAGACGCAACATGCTGTGTGTGGGTAAAAAGCTCGAAAGCAACACGTAGTTTTGAACTGCACTCGTTCAAACAAGCCCCGTTAATTTGGAATCGGGCGCGAATCTCCCCCAAGTCGTGGCACATCAGGTATAATGTGGATCGTTGTAGCGTGCCAGATGCATATATTCTATATGTGCATTGCACGTGCTTTGCTTGGCACGCGGGCCCCAAGAAGATCGCGAGAAGATGTTTGCAGGCTCGTCACGCGATCCGCGTTATTAAAGCTCGCCCAGTGCGAGCTCTGTATACGGGCGCAAGCCTGCAGCACACACACACATGCACGAGCTACGATGCAAAAGCTATCTCGCGAGCGTGTTGCCATCTCAGTACTGCCGCGGTGAGCTTTCTCGGCGCATCCGATCGTCGTCGTTACTCTTGTATTCGTAAAACGAAATGCCTAAGCTCCGCTGCGTGTTTGCGCATTCACTGCTTTTTAGCTCGTTCGGTCGTTCGCCATGACGATCTCCTTTCAGCTACCTCATTAGAGCGAGCAAGTGTAAAAGCTTGTTAAAGTGAGCTCGTTATATTTATTTAGCAATGATGGATGTGCCAAGTAATCTTTGGAGAAAATTTTATAGCGTGCAGAGTTTCAAGTGTCCCTCGTAGGACAAAAGCATGCAGCTTCTTTACCAATTACTCAGTTTTTATACGTCGTCACGAGAAGATTCGCTAATCCATCCAAGTTGGAAAGGATGAAGTCGTCGGTTCTAGAGCAGCGTCGAACTCGCAGCAGTCACAACTTGCGACGTTCGAAGCTGTTTTCCCTCTACGCCAAGATATTCCGACTGCTTCTTGGCAAATTCGAGAGCAAGGATGGATTCGACGAGAACGCGGAGCTCGTCGACGACTACAGCCGCGAGCTCGATGCCCTCGTGCTGCCTAGTAACGAGGACTGGAGGCTGCGGGTTTACTACAGCCTGGTCGAGTTGCAGAGGGAAAACGATCGGGCTCTGGCCGTCGCCGCTCTCCATGACATACCGTGAGTTCTCCCACTCAAACTTCATACTTTTCGAGTATTTCAATGTACTTCAAACATCTGAGCTCTTTCAATTAATATCACTTTTTACATAAACTTTACATCAAAGAGCTATTTAAGCATAAATTTCATTTTGAAGTTTCATCGATCAGAAATAACAACGGGAATTCTACTATAAAATTAATCTTGATTAGATTTCAAAAGGATCCGAATAAGAATATGTATTGAAAATATTTCGTAGAATTGCGATACATCAATAACCTAATGTGTTGTAGGTATGAGGAATTGCAACAGTTAGAAACCTTTGACTTATTTAGGTATACGCAAGCTGCGACGTAAGAGGAAATATATTTATAATTTCAGTATTTTTGTGTCATTATTATAAGGTTGCAATTGATTTTATATTTAATAATCAAGCCGAATATATGGAAAACAGAAAAATGGCACTGTTTATATTGAAAACAAGATATTATTGCATAGGCGTATAAAACTTTAAACCACGTACAATTCTTAATTTACTTGAGCCACGAATGGTGCCTATGTAATGATATTTTGTTACAACTATTATAATTAGCAAATCTTATGGCTGATTTTGCTGCAATAATTCCATATATATTTTTGTATATTATATGTTATTCCATGAATAAATACTGAAACATGGATTATTTTGGATCACTTATTAATGTTACTGTTTCACTTCCTTAATATGAATTGTTTTTTATCACACTTATTCAATCTTATATTTTACACTTTTCTCTATATATATTGAAATAAAATTATACATTTTTTTGCACATTAAAACTTACTATTCGTGTAAAATAAAAACTTACATGTGTATATTACCAAAATCACACAAAAAGATTCATTTTTCAAAAATGAAATGGAGCTAAAAATTTTATTTTTACAATCGAAAATGGATCTTATTTTGTGTGATTGTTGATAAAATAATATCTGTATCTGTACATAGCAAAAAGTCAACTTATAGATTTACTTACCGAAGCCAAATTCATACTACATCATACATTTTACATACCCACTTATGTTTACATTCAGTCAAATTAGCATAACCCTACAGTGAACCGCGTGCAGCACCGCGTAAGGGAGTCACACGATCATTTTCGTTGATGCAAAAAAGCAAAAAAAGTGAAAAAATTCAATAAGAATTCAATAAAAAAAGGAAAAGATGTCGGAATAATGGAGATGTAATGGTGAAACAATTGTGAGATAGAATGAGCGAGGCTCAGCAGTCGGCGGCTCGTCAGGGCCGCCAGCAGATCGTCGAGGCGGCCTTGAAACGATGGGACTGGGAGCCGAGCGCAACGACGGCCTATCCACTGACGCCGAGGTCGAGCAGAAAATTGGACGCGGACTCGAGCACGTCGATCATGCTGAAGGCCTCGGCGGAGCCCGGCTGGAGATTGAGGGACATTCTGTTGGCCTCGAGGCTGCTGATCGAGCGCTGCGACCAGCCGTACTCAGACGAAGCCGAAACGAGGAGGGTCTTCGGGCTCGTCTACGACGTGCTCAGATGTAATGCCCACTAACGATCAATCGCTATCTCTCGATAATTAATGTGGCTTTGCACGTTGAATCACGCCAAGTTGCGAACGATTGCAGACAAGCCGATACTGAATCGGGCCCTCGACGACGTGGGATTTTGGCTGCGCCACGGCGAACTGAAGGAGCGAGAGCGCGTCGTCTGGCTGCTGCTGTACGACATGCAGGGCCGGAAATTCGCCAAGCCAGTCGGCAGCGCAGCCCTGGCGCTGCGCAACGAGGCCCTCCGAGAGGCCGGCCTCCTCGAGATCGAGCAGGCTCTGCAAGACACGAAAACCAGATTGGCCGCGAGCCTGTCCCGATTGCGCATCGGAGGTTCCGCTCTGAATCTCGGTAAGGATAAATCTAGGTCGAATAAAGCACGAAGATCGTTACGAGCCGAGTGTCTCCTCCTCAGACGAGCTTCTGCCGGCACACCTGCGAACGGCCGAGGGGGTGACCTGGGGTGACGAAGGCGCCATAGCTTCTGGCTGGGTCAACAGCTCCAAGTTGCCGACGCGATACCAGTTCGTGGAGGAGATGCGCAAGATCGGCCTGAGCCTCAGCCACAATTGCTCGGCCAACAGCGAGCTCCACGAGTACCAGTACGTCTTCGATCCACTCTGCCCGAAAGTCGTCAATCTGCACGAAAAGGCCCGAGAGAAATTGGCCGTGTCGCAACTCGTCACCAAGCACGCCTTCGTTTTTTTAGTGAGTCGCTGCTCCGATCGATCTGCTTATTGAACTTTTTAAATCCAATGTGTCCATTACTGCTGGCTGTAACGCAGGACAGGTCGCTGTGCGTCGGAGCCGCCGCTCTGACTCAGGCCATGCGAGCGGGCAAGCTCTGCGGCCCGGTCATACTGACGCACTGTCTGGCCCCCCGGCACGTCGGCTACCTGGCCGAACTGCTGCGCGACGTCGAGGACGCGGGTCGCCTGCTGGTGTTCGGCCTCGGCGAGGCTCGCGACGCCCAGCAGGGGTACCTCGAGCGGGCCCTGGGCCTCGGCCCGGAGCGATGCAAGCTCTACGCCGAGGGCTACGCCCAGGCCCCGACGACCCCCGAGATGGAGCGGGCCACGATCGTCTTGGCCGTTCCGCCCTGCAGCTACAGCGGAGTGCGCGACGTGGTCGATCTGGCGATAGCGCGCGGGGGCGATCTCGAGCTCCTGGAGTCGCTGACCAATCTCGAGGCCGAGTCGGCCCTGCAGCCGCAGGCTCACTTGGCCGAGCAGATGGCCACGCTGCGCCACGCGCTCACCCGGCCCAATGTGCAGATGCTCGTCTACGAGGCGCACACCCTACTGCCGTCCGAGACCACGGAAATGATCGAGCAGGCCGTCGAGCACGCCAATCGACTCGCCAAGGACAAGTTTTTGAGGGAGCGGCCGGTACTGCCATTCTGTTGCGTCCTATATAGACAACCTCCTTATTTTCCTCCAAATTTACGCGTTGCGCTCGTTCGATTGTTTCGCAGTTGAAGAAAAAGTCAAAACTACGCGAGCATCCGACGGTGAAACCTAAATCGGCCAAGCGAATGTCGGTCATGTCCATTGACAATACATCCAAATCCCTCGATGAATCTGCCAAATCGGAGGACGAGAACACCGAGAACTCGACTTCATCGACCAATGCAACGGTAGCATCTTTTATCATACTTTTAATAATCACGAATTGTTTAATTATATAATCTATTGCATACTGAAAAATTACCCAAGATTCCTGAGAGCGACCTATTCGAAATGTGGCCGCTGAGTCAGCTGTACGAGAAGGACTGCAGTCGTTTGATCGATCAAGGCTCCTTCGTACTGATCGTCAAGCGCAAAGAAATGATGCAGTTCAATTCGCTGTTCATGATCAAGGTGGCCGAGGCCAAGGGAGTCTTTGGCGAGTCGTCGAAGCAAAGACAACAACCGAGCCCACCTCCTAAAACGCCGGACTCGCAGATGGCCAACAATGCAAAGCACTCTAGATCAAAATCCAATCGCAAGAGCAAAAAGCTTCTCAAGGTACGTTGGGGATCACGCGGCCTCCTAAATAATTACCGCCATTGCACGAGAGCGACATGCTTGCATGCGATAATTTACAGCTCGCTACACACGAATAATTTGAATTACATGATCCATTACGTGTGGCGGGAGTACTTAACACTATCGAGGCTATTGAATACTTTAGCTGATTACACGATCGAGTCAACTACATGTTTTTAAATACTTTCCTTTTTAGTTATCAATACATGAGTAAATTTCGTGAGATTTTAATATTTGTGTCAACTCCAAAATATTCGCGTAAAAACTTGAAAATTACCATTTTTGTAAAGTTCGTATTAAATTTTCAACTTTAACTTGTCTTGAAAACAATTTCTAATAATTCACAAACACAAACTCATACAAAAAACATGCAATTTATGGCGCTTTTTCTGAGTTTGGAAATTCAACTCATCCTATTTTTAATTTTCAAATTTTAATGACCGGTCTACCCATCAAGCAGTTGAGTCAAAATCATCACTAGGGATCTTCAGAAACTGTAATTTTCAAATCGATTTCTACTATTTTAACGATTCTTTTATAAAATCTCATTATCCCAAATGGCCCCATCATAATTCATCACCAAATTATGGGAAAACAGTTTTCAAGTAGCAGAATTGAGTGAAATTTCCATTTATTATTGTGCAGGCTTTTTCAAAAAAGTTATATATAATATAAACAAAGACTCTGCCCTCGCCCATTTTGAGTACATTTTAAGCCACTTTTGCGTGGTACATCAATAGTTTTACTTTAAATAGTATATTTCGTATTGCCGAACATTTAGGAAAAAATACCGTTGAGTGCCTTTTTTTAAATGGCGAAAAATTAGTATTTTTAGCAATTTTAAAAGTACACATTGTTTTAAAAGCATGTTTCATTTAGCTATAACATGTGCTTTTTTGAATCTTCAAAGGCTCTCGCCCGAATTTATTAAGCACTATTTTTTCAGGTTTCTAAATCAATTGTAAGACCCCCAAAAAAGTTACACGAGTGTGCTCTAAATAAAACCGTATTTTTTAAAGCAAATTATTAAAATTTCTCGAGATTTACTCATATCAATCAAACTCTTGCGGTTGAAAAAAATTCGTGCACAATTGATATTGAGCTACTTTGAAGTGGCCTTATAGGTATCTTTTTTGCATATATACCACTGACCTAAATTCTCATATTTCATAAAATTGGTAGGCTTTTGTGATAGCCTGCGCGATCTTGACATTATACATTTCCATACACACGATCCGGTCTCACGAAAGTATGTTGCAGCCGATAATCCGAGCACATTATAATAGAATTGGTATTTGCGACTTGCGGCATTATGCATTGCATCGATTGCAGCAACAATTCGAGCGGCTGACGGCGCCCACCCACGCGAGCATCGCGCGCCTCGTGAGCGTCACGGCGAGCTGCCCGCGCCACCAGCAGCATCTCGAGCACGAGGAGCAGCTGCTGCAGGAGCAGGTGAGGGAGGCCAGACGCCACGACGCGCGCCGCTGGTGGTCCGACCTCGGCCACTCGTGGCGCTTCAGCGACGAGTATAACTTTCGCGCCCTCCGCACCGATCCGAGGACCCGCAAGCTCCTCTTTCCCGCGCACGTCACCAGGCTCGTTTATAACGACCAGGACGACCAGCAGCAACGACGTCGCGACGATGCCTTGTATCCTACTAATGATCGCTTCAACGCCGATGAATTGCGTCTCACCTTTCCGTGAATAGTAAACGACTAAATTCTTCCGAGTCTACGTATGCGGCGACAAAACCTTATGAATCTTTTCTGAAATTTTTAGTAAACGCGGTGCTCTGCTGACTATTTGTCTCTACTTTTAAATTTTCATTGACAAAGTTTAATTCAATTTACTCGTCAGGTATCAAAATCGAAAATGAAGCCAAGTACTTACAGAGTACTTTTTAATCGTAATAGCTCTACACCCTACACATCTCTAATTTACCTATAATATTGTTCTCGTGCTGCTCGTCGTTAGCTTGCGTGCGAGAGTACCATTAATAATTGTTGTTTTCCAACTTTCTACTTCGCTTCTTTCCCTTTTCCCTTCTTGTTCCTTGTCATTTTAACTCGCTCATGTAAATTTTCTAACACTTTTTTTTCTTCGCAAAATACTGTATACGATTCTTTCTTGTACAATTAAAAAACTTGATCCAAAAACATTGTAATAAAAATTAAATATTTTCAATAATAAAAATAGTATAAACAAATAATTGATTTTTATTTCTCACTCTACGTTACCCTCAGAATATCCCTGAACTTTTTGATTGCCTGGAAAATCTTAACGAAGAACAGCTACGTAAAGCCGCCGAAACTTCTCAAAGAACTCAGCAGTTGAACGCACAGTGCTCAAACAAGAAGTTACAATTCGTTGATCTGCTTAACTCTGCTTTGCAGAATTTGCACTTCGTAAGGCTTTTCAATTTCGATTCCCTTTTTTTTCACACGATTTCTTGTAAGTCATCAAAATTTTCTCTAATACTAGCGCGACGACGACGATGAGCAAGTCGCGGAAAGCGACAGATGGACGATAATGAGTCAAGCGATTGAAAAAGAACGCAAAGTTCCCCACGACAAATCAACTCTACATAATATCATAAAAGCTCGCCATTGCGAGAGCAGCGACTTTTTTGATTTATCGTTTAAACCAATTCTATTTGATCCGTCGAGTCTGAGAAAATATCAGTCCGCACCTTCGTCGGGAGAAAGACGAGTAACTTTCGCTAAATGCTTGGAGACCGTGGCTGAGACTGCTCCTCCCATTTACGAAAGATTGTCTTACGAAGCTTGATGATGTTTATAGTTTTTAAAGGAGCTCTGAGAGCTTGAACTTTTTTCAATTTTCTATTTTTAGCCTGATAAAAAATTAAATATTGTGCCTTTCTTATGCTATAGCGGTAACGTAAAATACACGTAATTAAGAAATATTATCGATTTTATTATTTCTAGAAAAATCGAATGCAAAAAGTGCGCAGCACGAGTAAACTATGATTAAATGTTTTGCAACGATGAACTCATATGTAACAGCTAATCGAACCGCGGGGACAAGTCACTAGATAAGGCGTGAAAAAAATGTGCATCGCATGTAAAAAAAAAAAAACCAAAGAATATCGTGTATGGCAATCCGTGACAACGTATTTTATCGATAAACTTGAGAAAGTGAAAACTTAAAAGAATGTATAATTACATGCAAAGTGCTTTTTTTAACGTAATCGTAAAAAAATTACGTTGAATCGAGCAATTTGCTAAGGTGAAATGAATACAGTAATAGATGTTTGATAAAAAATTTTTATTTGCACCAACTTAATAATCTTTTTCTTAATTAACAAAATTTATGTTTGTATTGATTTATAACAATGATTTATGATAGCAAGGAATGCACTTTTTTGCATATTAAGTAATAAAAATACTGATATAAAAATTACATTTTTGTAACCCAGAATTATCTATTTCTTTTAAACATAGTGAGTGATATTAATGTTTCAACAAAAAATTTCTAAAATTCTTTTAAAAAATTAAAAAATTGGACATGTCATTTTTTTTCTTAATAGAAACATTAAAAATTTAACTATTTTCATTTAAAAATTACTTGTATATTTTATCAAATGCTGCACATGTTAAAAGAAAAATGTTATCAAATATTATTTTCTAGTATCTTTAACATTTGATTATTTTAATTAATTTAATTCAACGTTAATTTTTGTACATACAACTGTTACTTATTTTTCAAATCTGAAAACCATTGCTCTGTACTCTTACTTGATAGAAAATGGTATTATCATCTTGAAAAAATAACAGGCAGATACTTTTATACAGAAAATGTCAGAAAAACTCAAATGGACAAAAAAAGAATTTTATAATTGGAAACTCTGGGATAAAAACAAGATAATTCTTTTCTCATTCCTCAGCGATGATATTTTCTTTTTCAGAAATAAGAGACAGTGTACTGTACATAGTAATAAATTTAATTAATACTGTAATAAAAACAAAAATATGGTTTGGAATTTGCTTTGAAGACGATTTTTCTCAAAATTCAATGTGACTTATTTTTCTATTTAAATATAATGTGTCAATATTAAACAGAAGCTATCTTTAAATGCATCTGATTTAAGTTTTTTTTAACCAGACTAGATAAATTCTAGAATTTACTTTTTGACTCGAATAGTATAAAAATGAATCTCAATTGAAATGTATACGTTAAGATTTTCCCACAAATAATTTGAAGGACATCAAATAATTGAATTTGTTTTAGTATTTATCCTCAGAACCAACAATAATATAATTGACTAAACATTTAATCTCTAATAAAATATTTTTTAATTTAACATTCTAAAAAGCTTGCAAATCTTGTCAATTAACTATTAGAAAATAGTTACTGATATTGTTTTTTAAAAATATTTAGTTGCACCAAAAATAATAACATTTATTTAAAAATATCGATTAAATACCTGAAAAATTGTTCAGTTTGAGCATTGCCTTTTTGTAAATGTTTCACTCATACACCGAACAAAATACCAGATACAACACATAAAAATCACATAATTGAACAATTCAATAGTTTTTTTGTCAGTCACTGTAACATTCGCTGAACTGTCTTTATAAAAGTGTCACTTTTAAAATTTTTCTTGATTATTTTTGTTACTATTCTAATGTAAACTGAACTCTTTACTAAGTTTTTAGGTAAACCGACTACATCCACAACTATTACTATCACCAATTGCTGTAGTTTTACCATTAATAGATGTAGTATTTTGCTCATATCTAGGTAGCTCTTTGCACCGTGCTTGCTAAAAAGGTATAAGCATATATTTAATTGAGAAATGAAATAAATAAAATGAAATAATTAGAAACTCAATACAAAAAAATATATTACCTCCATGAGTTCTGCTGCTATTTCCATGAATAATCTTTCAACGTTTTCAGCTTCTTTTGCTGATGTTTCTAGAAAGTACATACCATGTCGTTGTGCAAAATCTTCTCCTACATGTGTAGGAATTTCTCTATCTTCTCTGTCAATTTTATTTCCAACTAATATCCTTAAGACTTTATTACTTGCATATTCTTCAATTTCTCTCAACCAATCTGGTAAACAGTCAAAAGTTGGTTGAGAAGAAATATCATAAACCAAAATAAGAGCATGGGCAGAGCGATAATAACTTTGCGTTATTGAACGAAACCTTTCTTGTCCTGCGGTATCCCATATTTGTAGCTAACAATAAAAGCCATGTAATTTTTATAATTTAAGTGTTGTTTAAGAATAATTGTTATTACCTTTATTTTCTCATTTTCTACTTCAACAGTCTTAATCATAAAATCAACACCAATAGTAGCACCTTGACCAGGTGGAAAAAGCCCCTATGAAATAATAATAAAAATTAAAACAATGGTAGTCTTTCAATTATCACCATTGAATCATAGATATGTGATATCTATAGATATAATATTATGAGTCATACTGTGAAAAGCTCTTGAAATGAGGTTTTAGAGAGTTTGCTTGCTTAAAAATTCAACTTATTAATCCAGGAATTATTATGAATATTTTACATTAATTATGAAAAGCAATATTGAAGAGGTGATAAGTTGTCATGATTTTTTAACATACAATTCAATTTTTAAAAGGATATAATATACAATCATTAGTTTAATTGAAATTAGAGTACTTAAAAATTCCATGGCATAGATTTTTAATGAACATTATCAGTTAGTTAAGTATAGTATGAAATAGGCAACTCGAGATCCAGTACATTAGGTCACTCAACCTTGACGAAATTCAAGTCAATAATTTGAGAGAGAAAAAAGGTGGCTACCTGTGTAAATCTCCGAACGAGGCAGGTCTTGCCAACGCCGGCATTGCCAACGAGCACAACTTTGAACAAAAACTTGTAGTCCTCCATAATGCTGTTTATCGATAAGGCCCCGAGTCGCCGATTCTTTCGCGTATCTTCATGTAAACACTGATCTTGAAAAGTTGTTGATACGGTTCGTAGCTGTCACGAACAGCTGCACACGCGACTTTCACCGCGATGGTTTACTCCTCCCCACGAGTGTCGGCATAATCAACAACAATTGCGTCAACGCAATGAAGGAAGCAGTAGCAGCGGTACGCACATATGTCAACAATTTATTACTGTATCGCATGAAATGCACACCAACAAGTCCTCATCCGCGGCACCAACGGTTCTATCGAGTGCAACACAGACTGTTTACGTCGTTGCAGAGAGCCCCTTCTTGCCGAAGCTCCCACGAGTGTACGCTATGATGTGTGCGGATATACCTATAGCGCGTTGTAATACATACCGCTAAACAATGTCAACGCTGTCGCGCCAAACTATTGCGAACGGTATACCTATACATTATACAAATACTATAGATGATAGTACGGAATTTAAGTAGTGGAGTGCAATGACGTGCATCGTATACTTACCATTTTCCTTTCTCTCTTTCTCACCATTTTCAATGGAAAAAGCCGTCTGCTCTGGAACAAGCAATATGAGTCATGCCCGACCAAGCGGCTGATTCAAAATTTACAATTTTTACCTTTAAAATTTAATTTTTAAGCAGCTATTTGCCAACATGCTGCATCATGGTTTTTTCATATGTAATTCACTAAATCTTTTAAAAACTGTGGGTAAAAAACTTTCAGTAGATTCTTTGTAATACTTAATTTATGATCTTCACATTGCTTGTAACCTGAATTATATTGCACTTGCTCTCGTTTCAAAGATATATTATACTATGCAAAGACACGTAGTAACGTAGGTTTGCTGGATTCTACTACACACCCAAAAGCAACATATAGGTACATTATAGATACGTGCATGATATGCCTTACAAATATCGGAGCAAACAGTATTTTTCTAACATTTTCAAGTTCTATAGCAACGTATAATGCTGTTAAAGCATTGGAATCTCCGTCGGGGAATCAGAAATTTAAGATAACACACTAAAGAAATTGATTTTTTCATTGTAAATATGGTTAAAAAAAAGTATAAAATATGGTAAGTGTTTTTCATTTTAAACACTCATTACTACTGTTTGTTATAATCTCTCATTTATGTAATGTATGAAATGTATTTATTATAGCATGGTGTCAGACTTTTTTTACCCTAATATGGGTGGAGTTGAAGAACATATTTTCAATTTAGCACAATGCCTTTTAAATCGAGGACACAAAGTGATAGTGATGACTCATTCTTATGGGGAAAGGGTTGGCATTCGTTACATGACCAATGGCTTAAAAGTTTATTATTTACCTATTAAAGTTTTCTACAACCAATGCATTCTACCTACTCAGATTTGTTCCATTCCCTTGATAAGGTATATTTTTATTAGAGAAGAAATAGATATAATTCATGGGCATTCTGCTTTCTCAGCCTTAGCCCATGAAGGAATGTTAATAGGAAGATTGATGAGGTTGAAGGTAATTATGTTCCTTAAAAATATAAAGAAATTTTCTCATGTTTTCATTAACTTACATCTAAATTTTATATTTTTTATTAGACTGTTTTCACAGATCACTCTCTATTCGGATTTGCAGATACCTCAGCAATTTTAACGAACAAGTGTTTAGAATTATCATTGTCTGATTGTCATCATTGTATTTGTGTATCGCACATAGGAAAAGAAAACACTGTTCTTAGAGCTAAAGTTCATAAAGAAAAAGTTTCAGTTATTCCAAATGCTGTAGATACTGCTTTGTTTACTCCAGATATAAGTAAAAGAAGCAAAGATTGCAGTAAGTTATTACAATAAGACTATACTTATATGTACCTACTATTTAGATGATAATTTTAATAAATTTTAAACATTTTTGTTCTATTAGTAACAATAGTTATTGTATCAAGATTAGTATATCGAAAAGGGATGGACTTTTTAGCTGGTGTTATACCTGAAATTTGTAAACGTCATGAGAATGTGCAATTTTTGATTGGAGGAGATGGACCAAAAAGATGGCTTCTTGAAGAAATAAGAGAAAGAAATCAACTTCAACACAGAGTTACACTTCTTGGAAGTGTAGAACATTCAAAAGTTAAAAATGTTCTAAATAAAGGTCACATATTTCTCAATACTAGTCTCACAGAAGCTTATTGCATGGCCATTGTTGAAGCTGCTTCTTGCGGGTTTGTATTTGTAATACTAGTTTTAATCAATCATTTATTTTGATTTATTATGGCATATATTATGTATATAGGTATTTATTATGAATGTGTATTTCTTTTTTCAGTTTACAAGTAGTGTCTACAAAAGTTGGTGGTATTCCTGAAGTTTTGCCTCCAGATTTGATTTATTTAGTTGAACCAACTGTTTCTGCACTTATTGAAGGAGTTGAAAAAGCTATATCTGATTACAAAGCAGGCAATATTATATGTCCAACAGAAATTCATAAAAGGATCAGTAAATATTATAATTGGCACAATATTGCAAAAAGAACTGAAATTGTTTACAACGGAGTTGATGATGAAGATATACGTAGCTTAGGAGAACAGCTAATGAACTATTTACAGGCAGGGGTATTACCATATCTTCTAGTTGTAGCATGGTGTTACATTGTTCTTCAATTTCTTGAGTATTCTGTACCAAGAAAAGTATGTATACATTTTTCAGTTATTTTTTTTTTATGATATTGAAGAAGTTTTTCAGCAATATTTTTTTACATATTATTACAGTTTATTGACATTGCAAGGGATTATAACAAAAGAACAAACTCGAAAAAATCAAATTCAAGTCAACTTTAAATAATTATTTACAATTACTTTGAATATCAAAGAAATTCTATATTTTTTAAAATAGCATGTTTGGTGAAAATTTTTTTCCCTGAAATATATCCTAGTCAAAATCAAGGAGCGCGCCTCGCAATCCAACTGGCAAGTATTTGTAAATAAATGTAAATAATCAATTATTGTACATGAAAATATTTATAAATAGGATTTATCGAAAAAGAATCGTTGAAATAAGTATTTTTATATTCTGTATTTTTGTCTTCTAAGTGAACTTTACATCAAATTCATTTTACAGCAGAAGTTACATAAAATGTAATAAAACTTTGAATTTTAACTATAATTCAATACATTCCACAGAAATAATCCGACAATGAAAAAATGTAGTGGATTTTTAGTTACATTTTTGATACAAATCAAACTGAAAATTTCACTGAAATTGATTTTATTAAATAAAATTACGTTTTGGTCATGCTATTATATAGTAGAATATTTTATAGTCAAACAATTTTGAAAAATAAGGACAATCGATTGAATGTATTTACTACTGTTTATATTGTTTATCAAGAAATTTGTATTAGAGCAATTAATGCGTATTGTTATCTTTAAAATAAAACATTTTTATAATTACATTTGTTACTCTAGACTTGTCAATCATTTAAATAATTATATTATACTTACTATCTAACTTTACCTGTACAAAATATTTGGGATTTATAGTGCATTATAATGAAATTATATTTTGTCAACAAAGTAAATTGTAATAACAGACCAGATTGGAAAATATAATGTTTATTTTTTGCCAAGTTGCAAGATACATTCAGTAATATATTTTATAATGGTAATAAAGTTAATATTGATACAATATCAATCACTCTTATTTTTTCCTGTTCAATCATCACTGTATGTATTGTTGTGTACTTATATTTTGTTTTTCATTACCTTTATATAAATTTGTCTTTATAGTTTAAAGATTGTTATTTTTTCTGAATTACTTTCAAAAAATACAACAATCTTATTGTTTTAATAACTTTCACTGAATCGCCACAGAACTTTATCAGAAAATCGGCAATTGTAAGGATAAAACAGCACAAGTGCCGAGTTTCGGTGCATACGTTCAACTACTTGATGTTTTTTTTAATCTTACCACATAAAAACTGATTTGATCAACTCTCAATGAGTCCATACATAAATAACTATCGGTATTATTTACAAGTGTAGTCAAAAAATTTACGCATTATGATTCACATTCACGCTGCTTATTTTTTAAATCTTTTCAAGTCTACACTTCTCAATTCACCAGTCATACTGCTTAATACAATAAATAAGATTTTACAGGGACATGTATGTACATGATCGTTTATATCTTGCAAATAATAAAATAATATATAACTCATATAAAATGAAAAAAAATCCGTAGAAACATTAAGAAAAAGCAAACAAAATAATGTTATCAAACCCAAAAAGTTAATGTATTTTGTTCAGCATTGAATTTCATTTTTCAAAGAATCGCTTATTTTTTATTATCAACTTGCTCATCCTAGTATGATTATTGTAAATTCGTTGGAGAGCTATTTCTCATAAAAAATGGTACATAGTATTGATTAACCAAATTAAATATGCTGATAGAATACATTCATTTCAAAGTCTAACAAAATTTTTTCAAACTTCTAAATCAAAATATATTTTTCATAAAAATTTGATAAATGAGTTAAATAATTATATTAAATAAAATCATGGGATAAAAGTACAGCTTTAGCTCAATACAGATCTTTAAATTTTTAAAACCTGACAAAAATGCTCAGCTTTGCTGTTTCAAATTGTGCACATTGCTATGCAGTTATTAAATAATATTAATAAAAAGACAAAAATGAATTAAAGTAAAAGAAAATAATGAATGCAATAACTCATCTACTTAGTTACAAACATTGCTCGAATATTACAGTATGAAATACGCTTGAATGTCCGAAATGAATTAATGAGAAAACTAAATTGTGTGATTTAAAAGTCAAGATAAATAGATCTTTTGTACATTCAAAACTGAATCATCAAAGTTGAGAAAGTATTTAAGAAAATATTTTAATCACAAAGTTAAACCGTAGTATATGGGTGTTTGAACGTGTACTTGTTTTAAATCGATAAAATTAATTATTCATCTAATTAACAAAGTTTAATTATCGTTCCTAATTGCATGTACAGACATTAGTGCTAATGAAGATGTTTTTGGTGCCTAATTGATGTTAGATTTTGAGTTTTTATAAAAGAATCAATTGTAAAGTATTTGTAAATTCTCGACGATATCGAAGCTGTGATCATTTTACACAAATCAAAAAACCGATTCAAGAGATTACTATTATGATTTTTCACAGAAAATTTATGAGTGTAAATGAACATTCTCGCTGTCGAGAATTTTCAAAATTTACATCTTAGTATGACATGATGATGCATACAATAACAATAACAAATTCATAAATAGCATATTGACTTCTCTGAAAACTTGAAATTGATGAAACTAGGTATGCTTATGTCTTTGCTTCTGTTATGATTAAATGACATGATGAGATCCAGAAGAGTACAAATGTACCAGATTACACGCTATCCGCATAGTCACGATCTCCAACATTGATGCGGTCGGGGGCAGACATGACACTGAAACCAAGCAGTTTGCTATCTACCTTGCACATTTTTCCTTTTTTCGGCTTTTTCGATTTACCCTGAAAATTCAACATTTTCATTCGATAAAATTATAATTTATTTTCTTATTTGACATTCAAATAAATGTACCTTTACTTCTTGGAAATCTGTGGAAGTATTTGGATTCACTGCTGGAGCAGGCTTACATAAATCATCTGCTTGAGTTGGTGGTCTCTGAGCAGATCTCCACTTGCTCCTCTTTTCTAAAAATTGTTTGGCAAAATCGGAACATTGCTTCCCATCACCAAGATATAAACGAACGTATTCTTTTACTTCATACGCAGATTCAATATCACGAAGGAAACCAATGAATGTAGGAACTGAAAATTAAAAATAAAGCTTCTGAATTGGCTTTTAATTTTACTTTTTTAAATATTTATGTAAATGTACTTAAATTTTTATTAGTATAAATTTGTTGAACTTAGCAAAATCAGTAAAAATTGAATACTTACTATCTACTGATACCTGCAAGCTACTTAAAGTCTTGTTACACCATAGGGTAAATTCATCAGTTTTGGCAGTGTTTTGTTCACTCGATTTTTTTACAGATTCTTCATCTTTTTTATTTTTGCTTTTATTGATTTTATTATTTGATGGCTGTTGTTGCTGTACCGCATTAGCTGTTTTAGCAGCAGCAGAAGCAGCAGCAGCATGCTGCTGTTGTTGTTGTAATTGTTGTAATTGTTGTTGTTGTTGTTGTTGTTGTTGTTGTTGTTGCTGCTGCTGTTGCTGCTGTTGAAGCTGCTGTTGCTGTTGTTGAAGCTGCTGTTGCTGTTGTTGTTGAAGCTGCTGTTGCTGTTGTAAGTGCTGCTGTTTTTGTTGTTGAAGTTGTTGCTGCTGCTGTTGAAATTGCTGTTGTTGATGGAGTTGCATTTGCTGTTGCATTTGTTGCTGTTGCTGCTGTTGCAATTGATGTTGTGCTAGTTGCTGCTTTTGTGCAGACGGTTTGCTAAAATTAGCAGCAATTTTAGGCGAGGCCTCTTCCCAAAAACCACCAGCAGGCATCATTGATGAACCAGTAAATCCTTGTCTATTGGTTGGAAGAGGAGGAGGATTTGACCAGCTCAAACTTTGAGAGGCGGTACCCCAAATATTAACATTTTGCAGATTTACTTGAGTTTCTTTTTGAATTGCCTTTTCTTTTTCCTGCTTTTCACGTTCTTGCTGCTGTTATTTAACCGTCAAAATTGTTATTAGTTATAAATAACAGTTAAATGTCATACACAATAATAAACTTCTAAACTTACTTTCATTTTAGCAATCCGTTCTTGCTCTTCTTGTTGAATTTGAGCCAAACTTTTAACTTGACCAACATTATTTGTTGGAGAGACTTTTTCAGCCCATTTGAACTGCAATCTTTTTGCAGAATCTGCCTGAGCTTCGAGAGACTTTTGTGCTGCCTCTTGTTGAGCTAAAAGTTGCTGTTGTAAAATTTGTTGAATCCGCATTTCCTCCTATAAATAATTATTCATAAATTTAATTGTATCGCAATAAAGACCTTGTGTTGTGCCGTTGCAGGCAAATCCATTACCGCTTTTTTTTCTCGTTCAAGTTTTTGAATTTCTGCAAGAGAAGCTTGAGCAGTTGGAGGAATAACAGGTGGTGCTTGAGCCCAAGGAGCTTTACTGCGTTCCTGCATTTTCCTTACATTTTCAGCGTCCCGTCGTCTCTGTTCAGCTTCCCTGGCTTGTTCTTGAGCCTCATACTTTCTTCTCGCTTCTTCTTCCCTCCTAGAAGTGGCATGAAGATAGTTATTTACCAAAATAAACTCAAACTGGAGTACTAAAAAATGTTACCTCATTAATATTTCTTCCTCTCGTTTGCGTTCTTCTTCTTCAAGTCTTCGTTTTTCTTCTTCTTTGCGTCGTTTTTCTTCTTGCCTTCGAAGCTCTTCACGTTTGCGTTTTTCTTCTTCTTGCTTTTTGCGATTGACTTCCTCGTCGTGCTTACGTTTTTCTTCACGTTTTCTTTCTTCTTCTTTACGCTTCTTTTCTTCTAACTTGCGTTGTTCTTCTTCCTTTTTACGTTTTTCTTCTTCCCGTTTGCGAATTTCTTCTTCGCGTTTCTTTCTTTCTGCTTCGCTGCGTTTGGCAGCTGCTGCAGCGGCAGCAGCTGCTAATTTTTCTGCTTCAATTCTTGCTCGCTCTTCTTCTTTCAATCTTTTCAAACACTCTTCAGTTTTTTGACGTTCGAGCTCTTCCTGTTGACGTAGTTCTTCTTTTTTCTTCTCTTCTAGCATCTTTAAATTTTGTTCCTCCTTTTTAAGCAAATATTTTATTAAAATGATTTTGTAATAAACAATATTCATAGATATCATATGGTATTTCGAATTCGTAATCGGACAGTAACAAATGAAATTAATTACCAAAATTTGTTGCTCGGTTTTCATCTCTTTTGGATGCATATCCCACAAAGACCCAGTCAACTGTCCGGACAAGTTTGGTTGAATCGCGCCAACCTAATTTTTAAAAATGAGTTTAATAAAGAATTAAAATTTTTATTTAATATCGTACTTGTTTAGAAAATGTATATAAATGCAATACCTGTGACATCCATGTTTGGGCATTAAAAGCAGGCATGGGATTTTGCTGTGGTGTTTGGTGCCAAACTGAATCCATTTGCGGTTGCGGTTGATGTTTTTGTGTCGGCATTGGTCCATTAGTATTGACGCCAAATTGTCTCAGCCAGGATTTTATGGGGTTTTCATCTTCTGATACAGTTGCTGAAGGTTGAGGGGGAGTTTGTACAGGTGGTGGAGGTGGCGTCTGAGGCATCGTCGACACGTTACGAATATTCATCTGCTGCATTAGCTGCTGAATAGGATCAATAGGATTTTGTGGGATTTGACTTGGATGAGGATTGTTAGATGGTACATGCACTGGTTCTGGAGCTGGTTTTGCTGCAGGTATATTCTGAAAGTTTCAATGAAATATAAAAAATTACAAAATAATCAAGTCAAAAAAATATAAAAATAGTGAATATTGTAACAATAATTTACTTGGTGCAATTGAGGGAACAGCTGCAAAACAGAGTTTGAAGGTGTAGGCTGCACAGGCTGTTGAATTGAAGTCATAAAACCACCGGGTAAAACTGGTGGTTGCATGTGGGGAGGCGGAGGTAGTTGATGTTGCAATAAATCTGCCACATCAGGATCCAATGCTCGAACGTGTTGAGCCACCAACTGATTTTGTTCTAATTGCGATAGGCTACCCCATTGATCATTTTGAGATAGCTTATTGATAGCATTGGCGCGCATTTTCAACAACAACTGTTGCTGATTTTGGAAAAAGCGATATTGCTGATACTGGTACACCATAAGAGGATCATCCATCCCTGAGGGTTTACTCAAATTAGGAGGAATACCAGTAGCGGAAATGCCGGTAGGCATAGTTGAAGGAGTCATTACGTTATCACCCACCTGTATTGAGAAATTGCTCTTATTCAATACAATGATAAATTGTATCATCAATTTATTTGTGATCAAAACCTTACCTTCAGAGGTGGAATATTGATGTTGGGTTTGAATGGTACACTACCACATAAGCTTACTAAGTTGCCAAGAGTAGTATACGTTTCATCGCAGGTTCTTCTCACCATCAAGTTTGGTGAAAAATAACCTTGTTTATGCCATTCCGCCATTTCACTAGCCAAAAATGGTCCTTGAACTTGACCCTGGGGATCACGGTAGTACCATTTATCCTGGCCGAGTTTTGTATTAGGCGATTGCGAAGCAACAGGTTGGGCAGTGTCGCCCCCTCCTGACAATGGATTTGTGGAAGGTTTTTCAATGCGTGGACTATTGCTGTCAATCAATTTTGCAACTTCTTCTTCAAATCTGTTTAAACTATCGGCTTCACTCTGAATTGGTTGCTGATCCGACATAGTCTGAATGAGTTCCGATTGTATTAATTCTGATTGCTGCTGCCGCTTTTTAGAGGCAGCGGACTGCTATTGAATGAGTAAATAATTATTTTAAATTATATTACAAAGAATAATTTATAAAAAGTACCTGTTGCATGGGCTGAGATGATTGAGATACTTGAATATTTTCTGCCAGGTACTGTTCTATTATTGGAGAGCCATCACGTATATTAGCTGTTGCTTTTAATTTAGCTTTAGTTTCTTCTACTTTTTTAGAATCTTCAGATTTTGATTTTGTTTTTGTTGTACCTGTAAAGATAGTAATAAGTAAATACATTTTTTAAAACTATTCATACTTGATACTTGACTAAATTATCAAAAATCTAATATTTTACGTGCTTTAAGTAATTTTAATTATTCATTTACAAACCTGCTGTATTGGCTTCTTTAGTTTTCTCATTAATATTTTTGGCTTGTTTATTGTCCTTCTTCTTAGCCTCAACATTTTGCTGCTGATTACCAATACCGGTCTGCTTTTTATTGAGTACAGGAGTACTTGGTGCTTGAGGAGATTCAATAGGAGTCAAACTTCGTCTATTGGTGTGAAGAGTTTCTTTTTCGATCTTGGTATTTGTTTCAAGTCCTAATTTTGCTCTTTCACCATTAAGAGGTTTTTCACCTTTGCCTCCAGGAGTAGAAGTAGATGATGGTTTTAGAGTACTTGGAAATTGCTTATTATGAGGAGTGTTACCTTCAGAGACACGACGTACACGCGAACCTCGTTTACGTTCGTCGCGTCTCTCACCGTAATCGTCCTCATCATCCGAATAAGTACCATGGAAAGCTCCGGACGCATCGAAACTTCCGCCTCCTTCACCGGTGTTTTCCGTGGCCCTAATGAACATTGATATCATTAATACAATACATATATAAAATAATAATACCAGTGACCATAAACGCATTATTTTAACAATTTTGTAAATCAGATAATCTCGCTCTCGTAAGTTTTTGATCATGAAGCTCAAAGCTAAAGCAGAGTTAAAAAAACGTCAATGCAAAAGCCAAGCTTTCAGATTTGGCTAGTTGTCTTCATTTTATGAGAAAGTTAACTCAAATTAATTTTAATTTTAAAAAGTCATGAATAAATAATTACCATTCTGGCAATTCATGATTATCAAGATGATTTATACGACTTCTACGCATGAGTGGGGTATCAAAAGGTCTGCCAGTTCCTTTATGATCCCAACGATCCAATCTTTTATCGTCCTCTATGTCGGCCCCACGATCGCTTCGGTCTTTGTCTTCGCGCCAGCTGCTGGTTTTTACTTTAAAAACACAATTATATTACTTGAATGTTAAATAATAGTCACTTAGTGCAATAATAGTCTTACTCCATTTTTCAACTTTAGAATTATTCCGATCCGTTCTCCAACCTTCGTCCTCCTCTGCTCCTCGTTGGCGCCTCCAATTACTTTCCATTAATGAGCTACCTGATACTCCACGATTTAGCTCTTTTCTTGGACTTGTTGAACCCCCATTCCAATCCATAACGTCACCTCCATTTCTGTCCGTCCAGCTTCGATCAATTGGTCGTTGATCAAATGATCTGTTTCGTATCTGATTCAAAGAAAAACCTTAAATTATATTTAGTTATAAAAAGTATTATTTAAAATGGTTTAACATTTTACAGGAAATGGTTGCGTTTCACTTCTTGCAGGCTCATCTTCAAACCCTGAACCCCGGAAATGGGTACCAGGACCTCTTCCAGTTCTGGCTCTATTGCCTCTATCCGCACTTCCTGCTCCTCTGCCACGAGTAATATTAACACTCATACCCCCATTCCATAGACGCTATAAAAAGGTACGATTTATTTTTGTTATAATCTTAAACAATACAAATTACAACATTTTTAAACTTACTGTTTCATCCTCTGACATTTGTGAGAGAGCAAGTGGAGCCTGAGGTTTTGCCACATATAGTGCAGTAAAAGATGTTAAAGGTTCTGGAGCATTATACGAACGATCATAAAGAGCTAACATTTCTTCACGACCATAACGAAATTCTGCCAGTTGATATTTAGGAGGAATTAAACCACCTCCACCTCCACCTCCTCCACTATTACCCCCAGAACTACAACCATCTCCTCCTAAGTTACGCAGCCTGTACAAAAATTACAATGTACAAAACAATGTTGACAAAAGAATTAATTTTTTTTTGAAAAATATGTAAGACATACCATTCTGGACCAAATTTAAGAGAGTCAGTCATGATGCTGGATTATCTGGAATAATTAAAAATTTATAAAAATTACTCTCAATCGGTGTTTCAGATTTTCCAGATGCAATAATTGTACTTAAAATCAAGCGTTTACACATGTTATGGGAACTATGTTTATTTGTGCAGGGTACGCCATACAACATAATACAAAACAAAAACGTAAACGAAATTGCATAAACGAGACAGCTTTTGCAGGATTCGACGAGATTATTTCAATCAGAAACCTTTAGGTGTACAGATTAATGCAAGGGACAAAGCTAATCATAATGATTCATTAACAATATGACTCTTTCTCTCTCTTTGCCATTGACTGCCTTCGGAAAAAACGAAGGTACACGCATACATAGCGAGGTCAGAATAAAGAGAAAGAGAGTGAGATTTAGCTGTTGAGGTCAATGCACATAAGTTGCATTAGTACAGCCGGTTTGTGCCAACAGCAAACTACTGACCAATGCCGAGGGTAATGCAAGTCTCGTCGAACGTTCGGGTCGTACTAAGTAGCGCACGAGGCAAGACAGACGTGCCAAGGTGCGTTAACCAAACATTTAAAACGTTCGAATAATCGCCTCAGACGTCCGTACGTATGTATATAGGTATACGAATATTAGTATGTGCCGCGTATAGAGTCAAATTGTTATTGTTGCCTTTGATGTAGCTTTGCACTTTTGCGAGCTCTGAGACTTCGGATGCTCTAGGAGATGATCTCAATGATGCCTGACACACGAACGCACGCTAATATCACTTGCGAGTGTCAAAAATGTCTGGGAAAGGTGTCAGATTTACCTTTTCTGTACTCGGGAAAACTCGTCGATACGAAAGACCAATGATACAATACACCAATATGGCCGATACTAGGCAGTAGGCTTTTTGGGGGAATATAAAAGGGAGCTAGCTGTTGCAAGAGTGTCTTCGACTGACGGCTCGAGCGTCATATATACGTATGCTGATTTGCTGAGCTCGGGCTTTTGTGCTCACAAACTGCTGCCAGGCTGCAATCTGTTGACTGCTGCGCCTGCGTTTTCGTATTGCGCAGGGGATTTGCGTCATTTTCCAGAGTTATGTGAACTGTATCGGTGGTAGAACTGACGCTTGCTTGACACGGCGATTTAAAAAGTAGCTCCCGTTGCGCTGAATTATTTTTCTTTAATCATTTTAAAAAGCCTCAATATAGGCCTATTATAAATGCTAATTGAGAGATAATTTGAATGTTCGTTAAACCTTATCAATGCATAATCGTGGACTTTTTTTATAAATCCCATTAAATAAATAGGCATTTTATTTCTTCAATATTCGTAGAACTAATTAAACATTTATAGAAATCTTGAATAGGAATTTTTTGTGAATCATAAAGAATAATAACATAATAATTATTTACTTAAACAATCTATTAGTTGTTTATTGAATTTTAGGGTAAAATTTTTTTTTAGATAAAAATATTAAATGCATACAAAATAATAACATAGTTTCAGTTTGTTAAAAACATTTTGACATATAGATTTTTGTATTTAGACACATGATTAGAATAAATTTTTTAGAAACCTGAGATCATAATTTATCAATATTTATACAAAATGATATAAAACTACACAAAGTAATGAGGTTTCTTTACAACAATTCCATACTCTGCTACAGCAGGGGTTAAATCTTCCATAGTCAGCGTAAATCTGCGGTCCTTTACTTTTTGCTTGGAATTCTGATTAGCTCCCCTCATTTTACAATGCTGCAGGGCATCGTTGGCTATTTCTGAAATGAACTTCTGAGCTGCCAGAGATATTAATCTAACACTAAAATTAAAATTTCAATTAGTGTACTGACAGCAATGAAACTGGAATTTATTGTGAAAAATTGTAATAAACTTACATTCTTGGATCAGTGGTATGGAAACCAGCACTATGAAGATAATGCTCACTAACAGCATCAGGAATCTAAAGTTTTACATAAATATGGTATTGTTTAATCCAGAAGTGAATGTAATAATATATGGAAATTAATAAAAGTTATAATATAAAAAAATCTTACAGTTGGTGTATAATCTTCTAATTGTAATAAAAACTCGGAAAGTGGCTGACCCGCAGTTTTTGGTTCGTCACTAACAGTTTGCTCATCGCTTGTATCCATTTCATTGCTATCGGTCACACTACTCATCTTGGCTTTTAATGAAAAAACTCAAGATTGGCTATAACCAGAATATAAACAAAATTCCTAACCTAAATCTTGACGTAACCATACAATCAAGATCAACTGATATTTGAGTTATAGTCTGACGAGGGTCGAGGGTCGGGTACTGGCGTGCCGTGAGAGCCTGTGACTCGAGCGATGAGACGACAGACTGCACTCACTACAGCTACTAAACTATAATGAACACAGTATGTCTGGTTACTGGACTATTATGATTTTATAAACACCATATAATATGGAGGCTAACCCGCATGTACTGCGCATGACAGCATTACCTGTCTATCGATGAGCATTGATTGGTTGACAATTCGCAGCTGCAAATACATCGGGATATGTTTCTGGAGTAGCGAGTAGCGACTGCTGCATGATTGTCGCGAATGTCGGAGAATCACCCTAAAACTTGCAAAAGTGCGAGAAGATTTATCAAACGTCAAGGAAATTTCATCATTTTGAATCTTCCTTCGTGACCCTGGCCAAGCAGGTAACACGCAAACAAATCAATTGAAGCGGCATGGTTTGAAAGCCCCTAGCAGAACAATTCGAGATTACAGTTTCAAACATATCAGCAAAATGAAGCAAATTCTATGTGGCAGATATGGGTGAGTTCGATAATTTAATTCACCACTGCAAAAATGTTAAATGCTGATAATAATAGAAAAGCTCCATGGATTTTTCTACATATGATTACAATCTTGATTCAGTTCCTTTTGAATGTCATTTACAGTAACAATGCCAATTTTACTTTAGTGAATTGCGTAGGTTATGTTACCGCTATTTCATGCAATCATTTTTATAATTTTTTTGCAAAATTCTACACAGTTAACAAACTATTTTAGCGGTTAAATTTACTCGTTAACAACACAGACAATCATATACAAGCCAATTTACTACAAATATAATGCCGTTATGCAACTGATTGTTTTGTTCCCATTTATTGTCTTTAGATACAGCAAGCCACTTCTGGCAGCTCCTCAAGGAAGATTATTTTTTGTTCACCCTCATAGAACAATTGTTATGTTAAGAGTTTTAAGGGGAGTTTTGAAACTGAGATACCTTTTATTGGGTGGTGCAGTTACAGGAGGAATGACTCTGCAAAAAGTAATTATTATCTGGAAAAACGATTTTTTATCAGTATTTAGAGAATATTTAAAAATTATTAAATTATTTCAGAGATATGAAGAGTGGAAGGAAGGGTTGCCAGACATGTCATGGCTGGATAATGTTATGCCTACAGATCAGCAATGGCAAAGCTTCAGATCATCATTAATAAATTTCAAAACTTCAATTATGGATAATGTAGACATAGGTAAGTATTTTTTTACACAGTTAATTAGTAAAATATAATTTAAAAAAATTTTAAAAATGCAACATTAAAAATTAGATCCAAAATTAAAAGAACTAGGAGAAGCTAAATATAAAGAGTATAGAGAGTGGTTCAACCAAAGATTAGATGATGCCATTAAAGCTGCAGAATTTTCCAATGCTGAAGATAAATATAAAAATGCATCAAATCGTGAGTGATAATAACGTTTCATTTTCAGTCATCTCGTGAATCCTGCTCCATTCCCTGGATATCCTGCTCCTGCTTTTCAATTTAATTTTCTATTCTCAGCTAATACTTATTTTACTAAATTTGCTCACAAATAAAATGTTTCTATTCAAATAGCTACAAAAATTACCAATGAAAAAATTTTGCTTCTACAACTTTTATTAAATGCCACTAATATTTTAAAATATTTAAAAATTAAATTTTTTTTTGTTAATTTTTTAGGATAAGATTTAGTTTTTAAGCATTACTAAAGGCTATGATTTTCATTTTGGTTTTATAATCAAAATTATTAAGAAGTTTAAAATTATTTAAAATTTTTTTGTAACTTAATTTATAATTTGGTCTGTTCTGTTCAGGTGATATTGAAGTGATCTCAGCCTTTGCAAATCAAGTTTATTCAGGTGTGTAGTAATTAAAAAAAGAGCATAACTTTTAGTCTGTCCATTCAGTGTTATGCCCTTTAAATATATATTTGCCATTACATTTCTAAAAACATTTTTCTGAATGGGGCAGACCCTTTCAAGCTTTAAGCTTCTGTATGTACGTCATCTTTTAATTTTATAGTTCTTAAATTGTTTATTTATTTTTTGTGTCTTATGTAATATGCAAAGCAAAATCAGCAAATGAAAAATATTTTACCTGCACTTTGGTAAGAATAACAGATGCCTGAGTTTACTGCTTTTACATTAAACCGAAATTTGCTGAGAGTACAATCAATAGACTTTATACATCTTTTCTATTGACAAATTTTTTTTATTGTTGATTCTGCCTTACATATTGCATGGGTTGTACATGCACATTCACCAATCACAAAATAACCAATTCTAAAACTGCTATTACTAATGAAGTTTTCAATTAGTTAATATATTAATTAACTTTTCAGAAGTCAAAGATGGAATAGCGAAAAATACCGTAGCTTTCGCGGCTGCAGAAGTGAATGACGATCGAAGAAGAGCTCGTAAGTATTTTGAATTAAAAAAATTTAAGAAAACGAATAGATCTTGAAGACCTGATCAATATGGTATTTATTTATGTAGAATCTTCTCAACAAAGAATCGATGCCATGCATGACGAAGTCATGCAAATACAGTCAAAATATCAACGTGAATTAGAAAGACTCGAACGTGAAAATAAAGAATTGAGGAAACAAATGTTACTTCGCGGAAATATCAAACAGTCGAATCGAAAAATCAAAGTTGGTATTTTTTATTCGATAAAACTATACATATATAACATAATGAACATTAAATGATTAAGTTATTTTGTTTTTAGAAATCTTTGATCGATATGTACAGCGATGTATTAGATGAATTGAATGAATATAATGCAGGCTATTCGACTGCTGATCATCTTCCTCGCGTTGTAGTAGTCGGCGATCAAAGTGCTGGCAAAACGTCGGTTCTTGAAATGATAGCTCAAGCTCGTATATTCCCTAGGTTTACAGTCTTCTTAAATTTTAAAAATTCTCTTTGATTTTTATTCGTCAATAATCATTTTTAATTGCAGAGGTGGCGGTGAAATGATGACGAGAGCACCGGTCAAAGTAACGCTCAGCGAGGGGCCTTATCACATTGCCCAGTTTAAAGATAGTTCTCGAGAGTTTGATCTTACAAAAGAGTCTGAACTTGCTGAGCTACGTCGTGAAGTGGAATTACGCATGAAGAACAGCGTTAAAGGAGGAAAAACAGTCAGCCACGATGTTATATCCATGACTGTTAAAGGTCCGGGCCTACCACGTATGGTTTTAGTCGATTTACCTGGTATCATAAGCGTATGTGCTTACAAATTCTCAAAAATTAATTTTAATGTTTTTTTTTTCATACTCATGATGGTTTCCAATTTGGTTATAGACTGTTACTACTGAAATGGCCGAAGATACTAGAGATGCCATACGTCAAATGACACAACAATACACAAGTAACCCTAATGCTATAATATTGTGTATTCAAGATGGATCTGTTGACGCAGAGAGGAGTAATGTTACTGACTTGGTTTCTCAAATGGATCCAACTGGAAAGCGAACTATATTTGTCCTTACTAAAGTTAGTTTATAGTCATTTTTATGGCATCTTAGACGAAATTAATATTTTCGACCCTGTGGTCAAAACCAAATAGTTGATTTCTTCGGGATTTATGAAGAATAATTTACACATCTAGGACGCGAAAAAAACCTCAGGGCACATGTTTATTAGCCTTGGCTCATAATTACATGTGATCTAAATTTTTCCAGTTTTTCGCTTTCTAGACACGTAATCTACTATTAAAATATAAAATTCAATTGAAAATTACTCTAACATTATTTGATTTATTCATAGGTTGATGTAGCTGAAGAAAATATGACAAACCCTGAAAGGCTTCGAAAAATTTTATCTGGAAAATTATTTCCAATGAAAGCTCTGGGCTATTTTGCTGTAGTTACTGGTCGAGGAAGACAAGACGATAGCATTCAAACGATCAAAGATTACGAAGAAAAATTTTTCAGAACTTCAAAATTATTCAAGTACATAAATTAATATAATTCAGAAACCAAAAAATTTTGAAACTTCTTCAACTTCTTCAACATGTTTTTTTTCAGAGATGGTTTAACAATGTCTGGGCAAGTCACCACTAGAAATTTAAGTTTAGCTGTTGCTGAATGCTTTTGGAAAATGGTGCGAGAAACTGTTGAACAGCAGGCTGACACTTTCAAGGCAACGCGATTTAATTTAGAAACAGAATGGAAAAATAATTTTCCTAGGTAATACAATTCTTCAAACATAAAATTTAAACCCAAATATCTTACCTTCATGTTAAAATATTTCAATTTTTAATTTTGCTTTAAGACTACGCGAATTAGATCGTGACGAATTATTTGAAAAGGCTCGCGGAGAAATTTTAGACGAAATAGTGAATCTCTCTCAGGTATCTCCAAGAAATTGGGAAGAAGTATTAATGTCGCGCTTATGGGAAAAAGTCAGCACACATGTCTTCGAAAACATTTACTTACCTGCAGGTCAAACGGGTAGTGCCGGTACGTATTGATGAATTGAAAATTGTATTGTTTAATTCATCTTTTGACTATAACGTTCATTTAATTATTTTAGGTACTTTCAATACAGCAGTAGATATTAAATTGCGACAATGGGCAGAACAACAGTTACCAGCAAAAAGTGTCGAATCAGGATGGGAAAGTTTGCAGCAAGAATTTCAAAAATTTATGCTGCAAGCAAAACTCAGTCCAGATCATGATGACATTTTTGATAATTTGAAAAAAGCGGTTGTAGAAGAAGCTATGACCAGGCATACATGGGAAGATAAAGCTTCAGAAATGTTGCGTGTTATACAATTAAATACATTAGAAGATAGAAGTGTCAATGACAAAAGAGATTGGGATCAAGCTGTTAAATTTTTAGAAACATCTGTTAAAGACAAACTTCAGGTAACGGAACAAGTACTACGAGAAATGATGGGTCCAAGTAGTAGGGAGAGATGGATGTATTGGCAGTACCAAACTGATGATCAAAAGAAACGAAATAGTGTTAAAAATGAACTCGATAAAATCCTATACGCCGATAAGGTAGGTCGAACTTTCATGTAGCTGCACTCTTATCACATGATGATAAAGGCTAGCTTTAACTTTAACAATACCATTCCAGAAACACACGCCAACATTATCGCAAGATGAACTTACCACAGTTAGGAAAAACCTTCAACGTAACGGGTTAGAAGTTGACAATGAATTTATTCGAGAAACGTGGCATCCTGTGTATCGAAGATTTTTTTTGCAACAAAGTTTATCAAAAGCTTACGATTGTAGAAAAGGTTTCTACCTTTACCATACTGGACACGATTCAGATGTAAGTTCCTAATGCAAGTATCACATTTCATTTTAAAATTGGTTTTTAACAATCATTTTTATTTCAGCTTGAATGCAATGATGTAGTTTTATTCTGGCGCATTCAACAAATGTTAAAAGTGACTGCTAATGCCCTACGGCAGCAAATCATGAATAGGGAAGCCAGAAGACTTGATAAAGAAATTAAAGAGGTTCTCGAAGACTACAGTCAAGATAATGAAATAAAACAAAAGCTACTCACAGGACGAAGAGTAACTTTAGCGGAAGAACTTAGTAAGTTTCTCAGGCTAATTGAAAAATATATATTTGAACAATTTTTCAAAAATAATTCGTTTAATTAATTATATTTTATTTCAGAACGAGTAAGAAAAATACAGGAAAAATTGGAAGAATTTATTCAAGCTTTAAACAAAGAAAAGTGAGCTGAATATTGATAACAAATGACTTTAGGATTTTGGATTAGAAATGCCATTTATAACTTGTCAAAGAGGAGCACTGGTAATTTTTTACTTGTAAATAAAAAATTAGAAATTGTAATTTAAATTTTAAATGTTTCCATTTCTCGAATTATATGTTGTGCCACCTCTTAGATTCTTGAAAACTGCTCAAAAATTCTTTTACAATAAAATTACCAACGTAGTGGTGATAAGTTATCAATGTAAATTGCAATGGAAGTTTTAAAATCTTAAGGATGCGCTTTAAATTAATTAATCATAAAATATTTTGCTACCAAACACCTATGTATGCTCTTGAGTTATTATGGCAGAATGAATTATAAGCTTGAAGTGCTGTGAGAGGAAGTCACGGACCCTTGTTGAACGAGTGTCTTACGTAATTTATTAGAATTTTTTTAATGAAACGAAGATTTTCGTGACATATTGTTAATAATTTGTAAAAAATAAATATCAAGAAAACATTGTATGCATAGTTGCTTGCAAACGCATGAAAAAAAAAGAATGATTGCTAACATGAATGCAATATGTTAAAAAAGCATGTGTATGTCGATGCAATTTTTTTCCCTGTGTAAGGTCATGATATTATAGTCATTGCCACACATGAATTTTAATATGACGTTAGTTAATTTTTAAAGTAATAATTCATTGATGAACCCGTTGCTAATAAAAACAAAAATCGTGTACTTCATTTCATGTCATTTGATGACAATGACGATGATGTAAAATCGTATTATATTGAAAATGTAAATAATCAAATAAAATCATACTTTAAAATGAAAACTTTTACTTTTTATTATTTTAATTCATCAATACTTTTGCTAAATGAGCGTTTTGAAATGAAAGTTAAAAGAAAAAAATTTTTTATTCTATTTTATACATCATTAAAGCTACAATTTTTTCTCCAAAAAGTCACATACGAGGAAGCTCACAAAACTCGAAATTTAGTAAAAGGATACGTGTAGAAAACAGAAAACGGTCTTAGATTCGAAGAAACTTAGGAAAAGTTCAAGCGCACTTTTTTACGTAAGTTGCTTGCGTCATTTCGAACTTGAGATATTGTGCACAGTAAGCGATAGTACATAGAAACTCACTGGAAAACTCACGTGAGAAATCGCACTCGATCCTATTTGCAAAGCCATCTGTGGACGTATATTTTACTTGGGAATTTATTAAAAAAATGTTGCAAAGTCCGTTGTAAATTGTTGATTAGGGTTTATTTATTGAATACAAATAAAAATCGTTTACGTTTACTTGAATATTTTTTCCTAATGAATAATTTTAAATAGTTATCTTAATGCGTATGAAAAATATCAATAATTTTATACTTAATTAAAATGAAAATTTAAAGGTAGAAATTTATAGCGCAGGTTAAGCAATATATAGATTTTACATTCAAATATTATACGATTTTTTCGCAACAATCTGATTATAATGTTTTGATCGCGTTTGACGTTAATATCCTTATTTCACTATTCTGAAAGATTTAACTAAAAAGGATTAAAGCAGTTGAAATATTGATAATTCGAGAGTTAAAACAATTGAACTGAATCTTGTGGGCTTTGTCAAGTAAATCAAAAAAGAAGCACCAACTTTCTGACAAATTTAATAGTAAGTTGTCGTAAGTTTAATATAAACAGTTGTGGTTCGTTAAAGAAAAATGGAATATTATGTGAATTTGTCGAAAAGCTGCGAATTTCCAAGTATGAATTTAACCCGTTAACGCCGAGATGGACAGAATTTTTTTCTCTATTGTAGTCTGCAATTAAATCATCTTATCGGAGCGAGAAAAATTTTCTATGTAAAATTTAATGTACTGCGAAAAAACACGATTTTGGAGCTTGAAAAACAACTTTGATTCAAATTTTTTTTATGAAAGAGACTTGAACTGTATCCAATAATACCTAAAATTGTGGAATAATGACCTACAGTTTAAAGTACTGTAGGTGGGATTTGAATATTCAATAACTTTTTTTTCTAATGTTGATCGTTTTCGAATAAAAAAGTATATTTTTTGGAACATTTTTTGGTAAATTTCTTGGGAAAAGTGTATTTTTTGGAGTCTACCATTTTGAATATTCAAATCCCACCTACGGTACTTGAAACTTTAGATCGTTATTCCACACTTTTAGGTATTATTGGACACAGTTCAAGTCTCTTTCATAAAAAAAATTTGAATCAAAGTTTTTTTTCAAGATTCAAAATCGTGTTTTTTCGCAGTAAATTGTTTATAACTTTTTTAATATTTATCAGAGATTAATTATAAACCCATATTCAAAAAGTACATTAAAATTTACATAGAAAATGAGTACTCAAAAATTTTTCTCGCTCCGATAAGATGATTTAATTGCAGACTACAATAGAGAAAAAAATTCTGTCCGTCTAGGCGTTAATGGGTTAAATGTCTTGTTGATCGGTGTTTATGATTCCTCGAGGATAGTTATCGAAGCTTTCCACCTAGATTGCCTAATAAGAATCGAGTTGGATTAAAAATGTCTTGATATGTTGATTTGTCATTTTATAAATAATATATACGAATTAGAATGTAGCTGAAACATGCAATTTTTTCCAAAGCGCAAGTATACATATATATTTATATCAAGTGCTAGAAGCGAATGATTTTCGCGTAAAAGTATAATATTTAATAGACCTGACGAGCGAATCGAACTCGAATAAATAAAGAGAAAAGTGTCAAGCGAGGACGAGTTGGGTCGGAATAAAGCGTCGGAGTATGCACGCGATACGCGTTTGCGTGTGTGTGTGTGTGTGTGTACTTAATTGCCGAGCACTCGCGTGGCGCATGCTGCCGCTGCTGCGCACTTGCCATGCAAATTGAATTTCGAAGAGCCACCCTGTGCGCGACTCTCTTCAGCTATGCATACACCCATAGCTGTACCCAAATACGTGTGCATATACAGTTTTGAGCGCGTCGAGGAGCCGCGCGAGTGCTTCTTTCCGCGTCTCGTAACTGGAGCGCTCGAGCTCTACAGCTTTTCTGCTCCGAGACGTGGCTGCCGCACGAGCTATGCGAATATTTTGATGAGAAAACGAGGAGTTTGGACGAATTTACGTTATTGTGAAAGATTATCCGAGCCATAGGCTGCAGCTACAATTACAATGTCAAAGTTGTGTAAAGTAATTTTTACGAGAGAAAGGAAGAGAGTGAGCGATCTGGACTGTGAGCTCGCTTGGCAGAGTTTGCAATAGCTATATCTTTCGAACTTTTCATCGTTTGATATTCCGCGCTTGTAAACCGAGGCGGGTATTCCACACAGTGTGTGTGTGGGATAGTTTCTCGTTGATCATCGATGCAATCGGCTCGAATTAAGCGTAATTAGCATTCGCGCGAGCGCCTCGTGCGATACGTGTCTCTGTACCGATACAGAGCTTGCCGCGAATATTACACTAATATCCGTTCGGACGTATCAAGTCAAAGTTCGAGCTATTATTCTGTTATATTTGCTGTGCCAAATTTTTTCTTATATTATTTTTTTCCAATTGTTTTGTACATTCAAAGTCTCGAATGAAAAATAAATAATTGTCTCGAACCACGAATTAAAAAGCGTATGCAGATTGATGCCGCAAGTTGAAATCTCGCGTCTGTCCGGCATCGATTTTTTCCGTTACCATTAATTTTACCCAAATTTATAAATCACGTGTCAATGGAACCAGAATTAAAGCTCTTGCGATTTGAGCGATGAATCAAGTTTTTGCTGTTTTGACAAGGTAAAAAACAGAAGGCCAATCTCTGGGTGAAAAGGACGACGCGAGGACGGATCGTTGCGAGAAGAAAATGTTGTAGCGGTGCAGGTCTCGTCCGTGCCCGATATCGCACAAAAGCTCGAGATGGCTTTGGTCGAATAAAAAAGGAAACCGAGCTGGAGCTCCGTATATATATAATATATACATATACATTAGGGTGTCCGTTATTTCCCAAACGTTAAAAATCCTTGCTCCAGAAGTTTAGATCACTTCTTTGTGATATAAAAACATGATTTGTACGGTTTATAACCCATAGGCACAGGTTAAAACCGTGCCTATAAATTAAAGTCGATATTTGCATTTAACCCATTAACTCACAGAATGTAGGACTTTAAGATAGGATTTTTTCCATGTTTTAAGCTTTAGAAAAACTTTGCGAGTACATAATTTGATGTAGAATTTAATTCCCTTTCCAAATCTGGGCTCAGATTTAAAAACCAATGCGTAGTTCAAAAGTTATGATCGTTTAAACGAAAAATTCTGTGCAAAACATGACAAATTCATACGTTTTTTTATGTTCAAACGAGCATAACTTTTGAACTATGCATTGGATCTCAAATCTGAGCCCGGATTTGGAAAGGGCATTAAATTTTACTATAAAAACATTGGATCTTTTTTCGGATCGTATAAATCCTTAGGTGATAAGCTTTGAACTTATCTAAAAATTTAAGGTATCAGAGTTAAGTTTCCTAGCGCGAGGCCCGCACGGCGTTATGAGGCGAAATTGCTCAATTTCTAACTCTCTGTAACAGCACCTAAATGCACCTAAAAGAAAAAAGGTAACATATCATTTCGATGGGAAATTACCTCAGCTTTCCTATGGTAAGGTCAGATTTCCGAAAATTTTCCTCTTTCTTCGGAAAAATCGTCGGAAAACCTTCAAAGTTGAATATCTCTAAAACGGTATTTTTAAGATTTTTTCAGATAGTTTTAATTGAAAGCTGAGGAAATTTCCTATCGATATGCTAGTTTTCAGAGTGTGAAAATGATTATTATTTATTGAAATACAGCAACGAACGCGTGAAAACGTAAAATTCTGGGCTGCGCGGTACACTGCGCTACGAAGCAACTGTCGCGCATTGCTTTGAAGTAGGATTTTTACCATGTTTCGCGTTTGTGAAAAACTTCGCAAATATATAATTTGGCGTAAAATTTAATGCCCTTTCCAAATCCGGGCTCAGATTTAAGATCCAATGCATAGTACAAAAGTTATGCTCGTTTGAACATGAAAAACGTATGAATTTGTCATGTTTTGCACAGAATTTTTCGTTTAAACGATCATAACTTTTGAACTACGCATTGGTTTTTAAATCTGAGCCCGGATTTGGAAAGGGAATTAAATTCTACATCAAATTATGTACTTGCAAAGTTTTTCTAAAGTTCAAAACATGGAAAAAATCCCACCTTAAAGTCCTACATTCTGTGAGCTAATGGGTTAAATGCAAATATCGACTTTAATTTATAGGCACGGTTTTAACCTGTGCCTATGGGTTATAAACCGTACAAATCATGTTTTTATATCACAAAGAAGTGATCTAAACTTCTGGAGCAAGGATTTTTAACGTTTGGGAAATAACGGACACCCTAATATACATACATGTGTAAATGTTCTATCCTGTATAGGTACAGAGTAAAAAAGACGAAAAGAAGCGGTGTTTATATATAGATCGCTCGGCATATCGGAAAGTGGAAAGGGGTGACAAGTGTAGTAGGTTCGCTCGTCTGGCGCTGGAGCTTGTCTACTCTCTTTCTCTCTCTTTCTCGTTCTTGTTGACGCGAAGCGTGCCACGCGCTGCCGGCAGGATGTTGCTTCCGAACTTGCCGTGTGCGTTCTATCTCTCTCT